ATTATACCTATGGATGAAAATTCCCTTTTAAAAATCACTTTTTTTTATCTTCGGTTCCACTAACTTTGTTTCCAGTTTATGTACTATTTACTCTAGTAACAGATTTGCTTCCAAAATGGTTTCATAAACAATCTTAGAAACATGCTCACTGCCACTCCAATCCATTCCCATCCTCGAAAATCCCAGCCAAAACGAATGTCGGTCATTAATGGCTACAAACTCTTCCTTCCAGTCTGTCCTTGTTCGATTATTATTATTATTATTATTATTATTCGCATTTCATTCTCGAAACCATTCCCTAATAGTAAATAGCAGATACATCCTTAACCCCTCGTTTTCTTTACACTGTTCACATGCTCAAGACTTTGAACTACAACTCTTTTAAAATCTTTATTACCTTCCTAGCTTATCACGCAAACTCTCTTCACGTCTACTACATATAACATATGGCTGTCACGTAAGATTATCAAGAAATATATGTAGTATACACCGCGAGGTGTACCCAGCTTCTCGGTATATATATATATATATACTGTTTCTTTAGTCCTGAACTATGTTCAGGTTCTTAGTATATTTGGTGGTGGTCGGTAAGCTATTGCGTCACGGCCTTCATATTAATAACCCTCCAGAAGTTGATAGGCTTTCAGCCCAACACCAAACCAAACGTAAGCGTGAAATACACAATGATTCACCAGCAGGTTTTTTCCTGTGTCAGGTGAAAGTAACATGAGTTGTGCACACAGCCGTCTTTTGTTAGTGTGAATAACGTTCCTTTATCCACCATCACGTCCGCAAGACAGTTCGACTTAATGGTTGCCAGGATCAGGCTAAGCTACCGTTATCTGTGGCAGGTTGCTGCAAGGAATGAATCTCCCAACCCTGAGCATTTTATGTGCAAATTCTGTGAGTAAGAACTCTATCATGATCTCACACATACTACATTGTTGAATGTCCAGTCATTAAATCCTTCAAACCTGCCGATACCTGGAGCTTTGTAATTACTTCACTCTTGTATTCTAGAGGATATCCTCATATTGCATCCAAAGTTTGCAAGCATAGGCTACTGATCACATGATCCTGTATGACTAAACATCCTGCGAGATAGGGATTTCTAAGCATTCATTCCTAGCTCTTGATACACACTACGTAACCCTTTATATAGTCTAGAGTAGCTGCATAAATGCAATTCCCAAATATGGTAATTAAAATATCAAGATTTGGCACAAATCTGAACTGATATGATACAAGAACAATTAATTAACCTTTATAAGGACGTAGGGGGCAAATATCAGCAGAAAATAAAGGAAATGTAGTGTGTCGACTTTCCTAAAATTAAGGTACGTGCATGGGGGTCGGTAAAGAGAGGGGAGGATGCTACTTCGATCTCGTGCTTAAATGTTTAGCCGGCGACAAAGAATGTCTTTATATGATGTCTATGAAGGTGAAGGAAAGATTCAATACATGTGTAAGTCTACTAAAAACTAATTTTGGATGCAGCCTACATCTTTTCTTAGGGTGTTGTAAACTAGGTGTTTACAGCTCCTTGAGAAAGGATGTCGGTTGCATCCGAAAATTTGGTTTTAATATAATTACACATATATTGGGTCTTTCCTTCACCTTCAATTAAGCATTACGGCATCGTAGTGTCTCCATGATGCCGATCGAGATTATGCTAAGCTGAACTTTTCACCTTCACATTAAGCTGGTAGAAACTAAATTTGTTAGTCATGATGGACCAAGTTAGGTTTTAAGCCGACTATTCCTAAAATTGGTTTGCAAGACTAATTTCGGAATAAGTATTTGAGCTAACGTAATTTTGTCCCTCGTGATATTTGTTGTGTCCCTATTTGAAGGCATCATGAATAGCACTTGTAAACTAATAATCCTAGCCTAGCAGGGCTCCAGCTAACCGCCTCTTCCAAAATAAATTGCGGTGCACCTAAAACACGTCCTGTCTTCACAGAAATGACCGGATGCTTGAGCTTCGTTACATTATAATATACTAAATTTAGAAACTTCAAAATCGAAGGGTCCTTGGATAAAACATCTGGGGCAATGGTGACCTTGGAAACGTCCCGCGTTAGCCGCTCGGGATAAAAAACGTCCAGTTGCCAACGTCCTATGATACGTTTCATTATAGCTTCCAGTCAACGATAGAGGAATCAGGTTCGAAGCAGCCTTGAATAAAACTGTTAAGACATCCTACCATCAAGGTCTGACGAAGCGATTCAAGATTGAAATCGTCTCCAAATAAAACAATTTTCGGTCGAAATAACCTACCTTTGGCCTACGCTAAAATGTTATAGGTCGAAACTGTCTAATATAAAACTACAATGGTCTAATTAATTTTGAATAAAATGTTGATGGTTCAGGCACCCTAGAAAAGCGAACAAGATCGAAACATCGTATGATTAAATGATCAGGGTTGACACAGTACGAGACAATGATAAAGTTCGAAACATAATTATGTAGGCTTTAATGATGAATGACGAAGCCACAAACAAAAGATCGATAAACTGTAAAAATATCTAAAATATTAAATAGCTGATATTGTACACGGTATTAAGGTAAACACCTTCCAACTAGGATATGCAGTCTTTAAAACAATACTAAATAATTTAATTAAATGACAGCCATGAAACATTTTATGAGATTTATACAGTATTACATAAAACGTTCCGGTTTACTGAACATAAAACGTGATTTCAGTCACAAGGACTGTTACACAACCCTTAACTTCACAACGCTATTTACGTCTACTTTCAAGAGGCTGTTGTGCCCAGTATTTTAACAGCCGCGAAATTTACAATAGTCAATTAAACAGACCTGTGTTGGCAAAAGCAGGTCAAAACTTTTGGTGAAAATTTTCAAGTTTAAAGAAAAAATTACTTACTTCCCCAACCTTCCAAAATCCGACTTATTCCGGTGACTTTTTTGGGAAAAGAATAAATTATAATGTGCAGCGCATCACATTTTATCCGAAATTACACCGAAAGTGATTCATTGTTGCACATTTTGTATTTACAAAATATTTTTTTTAGGTTCCTTGTACTGCATACACCTATACACACAGAAATCACAATAGCGTGATGCATCAAATGAACAAATCCACAACAAGGGCCGTGATGAGGGTTCGAACTTACACCCGGGATGATCCCAGACGCTACCTTAGTCAACTAGGCCACGACATGGTAAAAGAATTGTAACCTAGTCGAGTAAACCTGTCGACTAAGGCAGCGCCTGGGATCATCCCGGGCGTAAGTTCGAATCCTCATCACGGCCCTTCTGGATTTTTAAGTAAGTTCCAGGATAAAGTACGAAATAGGCATTCAAAATTACTACAGTATATTTGGGCATGCATGTCTTATGGTATGCGTATATTGTGAAATATACACATACCATACACAGTCCCCCCCCCATTTGGTTTTGATATTTTCATGATAAATGTAAATAATTATATATGGAAACTATTAATTATTTAATCAATATAGCGGTATTGGATACTACCCTGATATCCTCTCGATTTCCCGAAGTAACAAATATTCACACAGCCACTCTGGTAATAATGAGACCGTTGTTGAGGAGTAGGCAACACTGCCACTATTAACGATCTCGTCTAATGGATGCTAATGCAGTAACCTAACGCGTTGTCTCCAATAAATCTTCTTATCTAATACTACAAACTACACACGATACTTTGTTTGAGGAGTGGAGTTGATTTTCCCATATTGTACTCATGTAGTGTGTGTGGAGATACAGCTTTTGTGTGCACGCTAAGCTATTTCTCCCCTGGGCATATACACGTCAAACCTCATGCACTGCAATGTTAACGACCAGGATGGTCGCTAGCTATCCTGGTCTTCCTATAGAGGCCTATAGATAGACCTCTATGGGAAGAGGCCTATCTATAGGCCTCTATGGGAAGAGGCCTATCTCCGACTCTGAGAGTGCCTCTCCTCAGCCGTAAGAACAGATACCTTGCATAATCCGTCAGCAACATAGCACTATACTCGCATAGCTACAACTACAGAGGTCACTGCATTCTTGTACACGGGAAACAAATAGTAAAGTGACATGTATCAACAATGACGTATGATCTCCCTTGCAACGTTAGCAATGTTTGTGCTACAATCATCGCATACCTTATAACAAGCACTTTAAACACTGAATATCGTAAGAGAGAATAAGTGACCTTCCAAAATCCATTAAGAACTTACGTGTTACCTAAAAGCAATTTAATTTCCTAGCCGAAATTGCAACCCTGAACTACCGTACTGCAATTGTCTAATAGAGTTTGATGTTAATATTAAAATAATCAAGTTGATATTTGTAAAATAAAAATAATTCGTTTGAACTCGTTTTGTTGGGGACAGGAAACCTGCGTATTTATTTACTTTAGCCTTGTATTGAGGTAATAATATAGAAATATATGTAGTGTCTGACATGAAAGATATTGTAGGCAATTCGCAATGACAGGATCAGCATCATGTGGAGTTGTAGTATAACACTCGCCCTCACAACTCGACCCAACAGGACACTCTCCCCTCACAACACGACCCGACAGGACACTCTCCCTCACAACCCGACCCGACAAGACACTCTCCCTCACAACACGACCCAACAGGACACTCGCCCTCACAACACGACCCGACAGGACACTCTCCCTCACAACACGACCCGACAGGACACGCGCCCTCACAACACGACCCGACAGGACACTCTCCCTCACAACACGACCCGACAGGACACTCTCCCTCACAACCCGACCCAACAGGACACTCTCCCTCACAACCCGACCCAACAGGACACTCTCCCTCACAACACGACCCGACAGGACACTCTCCCTCACAACACGACCCGACAGGACACTCTCCCTCACAACACGACCCGACAGGACACTCTCCCTCACAACCCGAGTGAACACGGCCCCCCACACACACAAAGGTCCGCCTCCCTGGATTCTCAGCTTAATGCTTCCCAGGATAAAATCAATGGCATACCTTGCAAACGGTCAGGTTCCAGACCTCCATCGGGGCTTAATCCAATGATGGCGAAGTATTCGAAGAGCCTCTGGCTCTCTCGCTGGTTGGATGACGTCATTTTACTCTCATTACGACACTGGCCACAACATTGTAACGCGAGTGAGCGGCGAGCCACACCTCACCTCACCAGTATAGCTCCAGCAACACTGGAGCTCTAGGACTCCTGCCTCCAACCTTGCTCTCCGCGTTGCCCTTTCTCGCCATCCGTTTTATCTGTAAATTAATTGTTCTTCACGATATTACGTATATCTATGGAGCGTAGATTACTGCTACATTACTTGTCATGAAAAGGTTTTAAGTCGTTTACTTTTAATATAAATCATAAACTCATCTACAGCGCTGGCTAAAAGGAATGGGTCTGTTTGGGTCCTGTTTATATAACATGATTACACACCGATTAAACGCTGTAAATACGTGGTTAATTTTAAGAACTATATAGGTTCCGTTATATATTTTGGTATGAGCATCGAGGAAGCTATTTCAACTGCTTTAATAGTAAAGCAGAAAATAGTTTAGAGAAAATACAACTTGCTAACGTTGATCAAAAATCTTCACAGAAAATTTTAATATCAAGGCAAACTAAACTATTATGCTTCTTAAATAGTCTCGATGAGGACAGGAAGTTAGTGGTTTGTCATAGGTCCCTCCATTGTTCCTGATGATTTTTTCTAACTTGATTTTAAACAAGTAATATCTTGGCATTCACAACTTCGGCAGATAGGGGGTTTCGTAGGTTTAAAAAATTATGGGTGAAAACGCAAAAGATCTTGGAAGGGACACAAACTTCTCGATTTCTATCTCTTCCCACATTTTACTTCCAAGGGACACAAACAGCGAGGTTTTTGTCCCTTGTGTTCCTAATTTTTCTGTGGTTATACAGAGTTTATTTTAGTCGTGGACTATGTTCAAGACTAAGGTATACTTGCTAATTGGTCAGTAAGTAATTGTGGTAGCCCTTATGGCCTATCTACCCAGCCAGGTAGATAGGCCATAAGCCCAACACCAAACAAAGGCCTCTTCTGTTTTTTGCCGTGCATTGTAGCTTGTTGAGCTTGAAGCTGTATACGTTACATTTGACCTTTTATAAGAATCATAAGCCTGTTCAACTTATCGAAGTCCCACCTAGGGCTAGGCCATCGTCCGACTTTCTGTAGGATGCAACTAACAGTAACTTAACTATTTATATTTACTACTAGGTGAACAGCGCATGAGGTATAAGAAAACAGGGCCTAAACAAAAGCCTCAAATCATGGGAAGCTTAATCTGTATGTCTGTGTCTTACAGACTTTCTCTGCCATGGTGGAACAACAAATGTATTTAAAATAAAATTGGGACTTGTTCCCATCTCAAAGAACTGCCGAGCATCTATGTTCTTTGATAACTCGGTCTGAATAACTGTATAGAATGATTAGCCTAAACACACCATTAAACAAAGTATTTCTTAATATACAGATCTACTTGATTTTCTAGCTGACGAACTAGACACCTATGACTTTCAGTGTGCCTGCAAACTATGTATAGTTTCTAGGTTAACCACTTGGGCTGGACGGTAGAGCGACGGTCTCGCTTCATGCAAGTCGGCGTTCAATCCCCGACCGTCCAAGTAGTTGGGCACCTTTCCTTCCCCCCGTCTCGTCCCAAATCCTTATCCTGATTGATTGATTGATGAAGATTAAGCCACCCAAGAGGTGGCACGGGTGCTTTATCTGATATCTATATATTAATATATTTATTCCTGTGACGGGCATGAATAGCCCGGAATTATCCTGATCCCTTCCAAGTGCTATATAGTCGTAATGGTTTGGCGCTTTCTCCTGATAATTTCCTTCCATTCCCTACCGTCGTACATGTCATCAGTCGTAAAAACAGTTCCATTTAATTTCTCTGTTTAGTTTTCACAGACGTTACTCTCGAAAATATTCGTTCAACCAGGGCATTACTGATTGGTAAGCTGTATATTTTCAATGTAATCTTAGTGAGGTCAATGAGCCTGGGATCTCCAGCAGCGTTACCTTACCTTGAGGTTACCTTGAGGTGCTTCCGGGGCTTAGCGTCCCTGCGGTCCGGTCGTCGACCAGGCCTCCTGGTTGCTGAACTGGTCAACCAGGCTGTTGGACGTGGCTGCTCGCAGTCTGACGTACGAATCACAGCCTGGTTGATCAGGTATCCTTTGGCTTATCAGCTTATCCAGTTCTCTCTTGAACACTGTGAGGGGTCTGCCAGTTATGTCCCTTATGTGCAGTGGAAGCGTGTTGAACAGTCTCGGGCCTCTGATGTTGATAGTTCTCTCTCAGAGTACCTGTTGCACCTCTGCTTTTCAACGGGGGTATTCTGCACATCCTGCCATGCCTTCTGGTCTCATGTGGTGTTATTTCTGTGTGCAGGTTTGGGACCAGTCCCTTTACTATTTTCCAAGTGTAAATTATTATGTATCTCTCCCGCCTACGCTCAAGGGAATACAGATTTAGGCTCTTTAGTCGGTCCCAATAGTTTAGATGTTTTACTGAGTGGATTCTAGCAGCAAAGGATCTCTGCACGCTCTCCAGGTCAGCAATTTCTCCAGCTTTGAAAGGGGCTCTGATTGTGCAGCAGTACTCCACTCTAGAGAGCACAAGCGTCTTGAAAAGTATCATCATCGGTATAGCATCTATAGTGTGAAAAGTTCTTGTTATCCAACCTGTCATTTTTCTTGCAGTTGTGACGCCTACTTTATTGTGTTTTTTAAAGGTAAGGTCTTCCGACATGAGTACACCCAGGTCCTTTACATTGCCTTTTCGTTCTATGTTATGATTTGCCTGTATGGTCAAATTTCTGTAGACTGTAAACGTTCCTGACAGTTATTGCCTAGGTCTAAGATGATGATCCAGATGCTGGAATTTGTCCCTCATAAGTGCTGAGGCAGTCACCTGTTAGCAGTAGACGCAGCATACTTTCAATTTCACTAAGCTTGGACTGATCAGCTAAAACTAATGGAAGTTCTGAAAATGGTGGCTGTGTGTGGTTAAGGTCACACTAAGGCTAAGTGACAGATTTTTCACCTTTTTGAAAATTTCAGCATTACTTGGAATGCGAGAAAGAAGCTCTTTGCAAGCTTTCACAAAAAATTATGGCATCTTTCTTAGACATTTTGAAGCTATTCCTGGTTTATAGCATTGTTTTGTCTGTTAGTGGCCTCAAGTGTAGAAAATTCATAACCAAGGTCCACTTTCTCCAGGGGCAGATAAATGGAATTAAAGTCCCAATTAACATTAAGCTTTGCATGATCAAGATCACAAGCTGATCTCATTGACCACAAGCTGAATTTCCAGGGACACATTCTAAATATATCAAAAAAAGTTTCAAAAACTGTGGGCATTCTTTCTAAGATCAGATATTATGTACCACGCCCTGCCCTCGTGACTCTCTATTACTCCCTTATCTATCCTTATCTCAACTATGGTATTTGTGCTTGGGGTTCTACTACCCAAAATCACTTACGTCCTCTAATTACCCAACACAAAGCTGCTATTAGAACAATATCCAACTCTGGCCCCAGACATCACTCGATACCCCTACTCAAATCTCTGAATATGTTAGATATTAAGTCACTGCACATTCTCTCATGTGTATTATACATATATAAAACGCTAAACTATAATGCCAATCCTGATCTTAAAAGCTTCATAGAAGGTTGTAACAGAACCCATGAGCACCACACCAGAAATAAATACAGTTTTGATATTCCTAGAGTACGTCTTAATCAAACTAGAAATGCTCTGCAAATCAAGGGGCCCAGAATGTGGAATGACCTTCCCAACCATGTTAAAGACTGTACCTCTCTCAACCAGTTTAAGATAAAAACTAAACACTACCTAATAAATTCCCTGTAATCTACCTCACTCCTCTATTGTCAACCCATGTCTGTTATTTTCTTCTTTTTTTTTTTTTTAATCAACACTGTTTGTCAACCTATTGTATTTGTGCTGCTTTTTCAGTCATGTTCCCCCTTTTTTTATCTTTATTTGTATTTGTTCTCAACACTTTTTATTCTTTATGCTCAATTAGTATTAAGTTCTAGATATTAATGTTTTTCTTGCCCGAAACGCATTGCGTAATAGTGGCTTTAGGCATTGTATGTACTAGCTCTATCTATATATCAATCCATTAATGTAACATCACTTGTATGTATATACCTTACCTGAATAAACATCTGAATCTGAATCTGAATCTGAAAGATGCGCGATTTTTCAAAGTATTCCAAGAGTGAAGTTTTCTATGTTAGTGTAAAGGCTACACTGATCTGCTTCATCTTTTTGATAAACTCGGTTCATCCTTTCAAAATCATTTAGGATTGGTTTGAGGAATGTGAAATATAGCTTAGTGGCAGGATCAGCGTTCATTGAAAATAGTTGCCTTGCAACATATTACACGAGGAGGAACGATTTGGTAATGAGTTGTTATAGAATCCCGCTGATCTAACAGCCGCTTTGCACTATTGCTCCTTGCCAACCATTGTGTTCTTGACCAAGACATCACATGCATGAGAACAGACCAAATGCAAAGAACGTGTATTTGACTAGAAACAAATAAGGGATATCCTTCTACGTCACAGTGTAAAGTGAGAGATGAGGTCCACAGAGATGAGGTCCACAGAGATGAGGTCCCGTCCGTGCAAGACGCTGCTTCAGATCAACTCCAATATAGCCAAAATAATCTTTGAGGTGTTGATACAAGGCTTCAGAGGAAGAGCTTGTGACTGAAACTAGTCCCATAAACGGAGGTAAAATCCTATCGTGTTTAGCTTCATAATATCGAAGATAGACACAAATGATTTTCACAGGCAATATCTGTCTACTTATCTATAAGTAGTTTACTGAAGGTCCATCACTAAGTGACGGACCTCTATATCCGTGACAGAATATCAACCTCCCCGACAACACTAGTCATGGACTAGTGTCGTCGGGAGGTTAATTCTGTCCGGATATAGTCCCGACTTTCAACCTCTTTTGAACGATCTGCGTGGTGTGGAGGTAGAGTACTTGTTACACACAGAAATGACAATAGCGTGATGCCTCAAATGAACAAATCCACAAGGGCCGTGACGAGGATTCGAACCTACGTCCGAGAGCATCCCAAACGCTGCCTTAAATGACTTGGATCCTGCAGCCTCTCCGAGACACAAACCAGGGTTTTACACAATTTCCCCATGCACTCGAGCTATGTCAATAGGCCGTTCTACCTCTTCGCCCTTACTTCATTACACACATAAATCCCAATAGCGTGATGCATCAAATGAACAAATCCACAAGGGCCGTGACGAGGATTCGAACCTCGTCTGAGAGCATCCCAGACGCTGCCTTAATCGATTGAGCTACGACATGGTAAAAGAGTTGAAACCAGAAGTTCTACTGAACTTACTTGGATCCTGCAGCCTCTCCGAGACACAAACCAGGCTTTTACACAACTTCCCCATGCATTCAAGCTATGTCAATAGGCCGTTCTACCTCTTCAGAGTTGTGTTGTGCATGGGGGAGTTGTGTAGGCAGATTCTGTAATAACATCATACTTTATAACATTAGAGCATAAGGTACTCATATATGCTCTTTTCTTTATCATACAGTGTTCATTACCTCCCACCTTTTGAACTGAGATGATTAATTCATTACCTCCCCCACCTCTCATTAATCAAATGGCAGAGGCTACATTTATCTCTGAAATTCTATCCCCAATACTCTTCAGATTCAACCCCATCCTTATTACCTCAATCATAGCATTTCTTGGGCATCCAAAGATAATTCTCATGGCTTCATTTTGTACCTTCTCCAACTTGCCCATCCTACCTTTACCAAAGCAAGAAATGAGAGGTGCAGCATAATCAATAAGAGATCTTATTGATTATGTACAGTACTCAAGCATATATCATTCCTAGCACAGGGACTCCCACTCCCTTTCCACAGCATGCCAAGGCATTCAGAGGTTGTAATCTCTTCCGACATTGACCCAATAGTCTTTACTAAGACTATTGGGTCAACCCAATAGTCTGTTCATCTCAGCTTCCAAACTCACATGGGTATATCCAACATATATGCCTAAATATTTATATATATTATCTCTCTCTATATTTTTACCGCTTATTTTCAATATAATGGGCCTCCGACTTCTACATTCAAACTTAGTTTTGTCTTCATTAACCACCAGTCCCATATGGTGACACAGTTTTCCAAAATTATCCAACACCGTTTGAACCTTTGAAATATCTTTGCCCTGAAACAAAATATAATCAGCATATATGATCGGAGTTACCCCATTTGAGTATCTCTCAGATGCTATCTTATTCATTAGTATATTAAACAGGGAGGGACTCAACACTCCTCCCTGAGGTGTGCCGAGTTCCAAAGATCTCACAACTGACATACAGCATTGATACCACACCTGAGCCTTCCTTTCGTGAAGATGATCCCCTATCCAGCCCAATAATCTCCCATTAACACCAAGACCAGTTAGTTCATAAAAGATAACCTCTTTGTTGGCTTTATCAAAATTTCCTTGTAAACCTTTCACACCCGTTACCGCTCACAGGATGTATGGGGTGCACAATAAACTAGCCGTCTCCGGCGGAAACAATCAATCAGTCTATTGGGAAAAATAATGATTTGCTAAATCTTTACGAATGAATCAATGAAGAGTGCATGGGTGACATGCAGTTGAGGCGCCATGAATCCTGACTCATAAATATATAATGCGACAATGGCTAGAAAAGTTGGTGGGCGTGATATATAGGGCAACCATTTATTTCAGTATCAGCAGCTTTACTTGCATGTCAAGGTATTAAAATGGTTTGTTTATTATAATAATAACTGAGAACATACCGAAGCTCTAAATATACAAAGTAATGGAGAGTATCTCAGATGGTCAGATAGCATTGGCCAATCACTTGCCTGCAATTACATGACGTCAGAGACATGCATGTCGTCATCAATTACATATGAATGTATTTTTTTTATATCGTATCAGCGAATTACTTTTTCCGATACATGTCACTGTAGCAAAGATTGATAAAATTTAATTTATAAACTAATGAAAATTGAAAAGAATTCCTCCTATAACGTTATCCGAAATCTTGTTCTTATTTCATTTTATAGTTAACCTAATATTTTTTTAATAAGATTTGTTTATAAATGTATACTGTAAGATGTATATAATTATTAGCAGAATGTATGATATTTAAATAGTATAGATATGTTTGTAAATGCATCAACAATAGAAAATGTCGAAGCCAACTATACACACATCAGAACGCTGGCAAGTAAGCAAATATTTTTGTATAATGCTTACATTTCTATTATTTTTGTGTGCAACATTTTATAAATGATTTTAAATTACAAAAATATTCTGTATTGATTTGTAAAGTTTATATAATCATATTTAACAAGAAAGTAAAACACAAGTGTCAAAATATTTTGGTGAAGACTGACTGGTAGAAATCGACAACATCGACGAGCACAACAACACAGGTCGGCGGAACGTATCTTGTTATTAGCAGATAAAACTAGCCACCTGTTGGTGGGAATATCATGCCATCCAGCATACGCTACCAACCAGTGAGTATCCCCAGTGAGTCTGTGAGGTGGTGAGTGAGGAGTCTTAACGAGAAGGAGGGAGAGGCGAGGCAAGAACTGTCAACTGGTTGCAGCCAGGAAATGTCCCTGTGTTATTTTAGAAGGTCAAATGTACTGCAGGTATTACAGGACTCTGGTGTTGCTGCCTTGGCTCTCTGGCCTATACCGTAACACCTGCAGGTGGAGTGGTACACCAGCTGTTGGTGACCACTTTCATGACATCGAGCAGATGGTTATTGTTCACGGTAAATCCTTCCCATTCCTTGATGTTCATCGTCATGGAGGCGGTTTGTGGTGATAATGGCGTTCATTGTGATGGGTCACGTGTATTAAGTAATTAAAATACATGGGGCTTTAGTGATTAGTGAAATTGTAATCCTATTTTAGTGTTTTTGGGCTTGAGAAAAATGCAGTAATTTTTTTTTATAATCCAATGGGATTCTATTATTTTGGTAATGTTTGCACAAAGTTAAATTCTTTTTCCACTTGGCATTTTTTTTCCCGAGCAAGGTTTTATTGAAGTGTCGGGTTTTGGCAGTTTTTGTATACATTAGATAAGATTTTATCTGGTTGGTGCAATTGCTACAATCTCCAGTGCAATAATTTTGCAATTTAATGCTAGGAAAGGTTTTATTTATGCTGTATATTAATATAGGTCACTATACAGCATAGTTTGATTATGGGTTTCTATACCTGGGAGCCGGTCGGCCGAGCGGACAGCACGCTGGACTTGTGATCCTGTGGTCCCGGGTGCGATCCTGGGTGCCGGTGAGAAACAATGGGCAGAGTTTCTTTCACGATAACCTTACATAGCCCATGATATGCACTAGTAATGTGACGTATGTTGTATGGGAATTCAAAATGATTGCCAGATATGAAATATACTGTTTAGCAGCTCTGCAAAATTAAAATTTATTAATGAAATGGTTAGCAAAAATACTATCTTATAAAAATAACCATACCCTATTAATTTCTGTAGTTTATTACTAGGGTACATCACTGTATGTAGATGAGTTAAGTAATGTTTTACTAATAATGCAAAACAATCATGTTCATCATGATGCAGCAATCTAAACTAGCCAGTGCTACAATCATCGAGTTCAACATGCTACTTACATATAGGTTAAGAATATACACATGGTGGAGGAAGGTGAAGACAAAGTTTATATATAGTGTTTGATTACAACTTGGTATCATACATCAGAAACTACCATATCACCCACATTGTTCTTGTTTCAATATTTTTAATTGAAGGAAATTACTTTCATTAAAATTATCATAATAATAATATTTAATTTAGACAATAGTACATATTAATTCCCATTAAGTTAGTAAAAAAATAAAAATAATAAAGAATTAGGAAACAAAAATGCAGCTGTACTTTTGAAAAACAGGATAAAAATAACAAACGGCTGGCTTCCTTTGCAATTTCTGCCTCGGCTGGCTCTCTTTGCGGCTTCTAGCTCTGCTGGTTTCAGTTTGCTCAGAGTTTCACTTCCATTTATCAGTTCAGGCTGCTCAGCTGCTGGTGCCAACACACTACTTTCCACTTGACTCGCATCACTCGCCTCCCAAATCTCCCGCTGCTTCACCTAAGTACAGTACTTTACTGCACTTGTAATTACTAGCTGCACATTATTAAATGTTATACCTGTATTTGGTAAATGTATCATTATGGAGGGTCACTTCTTTGCCAAGCTTAACCTGAGATTAGGTTGCCGACTCTGAATGTCACTGGAACTAGCAAAAACGGCATAACCTGTATATAATATAGGAATAGATCCATTTTGAACTTAGTTTTTTAATGTATACTCTACTCTGTATAGTAAATATTACCTATGCTTTATATTATCATCACCTTTTTCTAATAATGTTATACATACAGGACATCATATTATTTGGTTATGTCAATCTTCCAGATACCTTTATCAGACGAGGAGAGTAGTGAGAACATGTCATCCCCGACGCCCAATCAGAGGCTAGAAGCAGCAGAGGCTGCCAGTGCTGCACCTCCACCCTATTCGGTAAATTGAAATCTGCACTACTTTTTTTTTTTACTTTTATATCTTCAAATAATTAAAGGATAAAACATTTAATAAGAGAATGATAGAATTGTTGATATGGCTCTAATTATTTGCTAGGTGATTAGAGTACAAAAGGTAGTCTCTCAATCGTCTCATACTGTACATGGATCAGCTGAATTAAAATTTTTAAACTTTTTTAACATTTAAAAAAAAATGGTGGTGGGGGTTTCCTATATCTCTCACCCCTGTCATTCATTGACACGGGCAAGAGATAGGGGAAAATTAGTACCCACAATCTTGCTGTACAGTACTGTGTTTATGTATTGGTAGGCTATTTAAAAGATGTATTATATAGCATAGTATTTATCACAAATGGAGAGCCTAAAATTTTTGTCAATTAACAGGTAACTGATGAGAATGAAGGTGCAGTCCGTACAACCATGGATGACATTCCTCCACCTAAGCCAGATATGCATGCTCCCCCTCCCTATGAGGAATCAGACACAAGAGAGGGATTTACCAGTTCCATGGCAGAACCCCTTACAGAAGAGTCCTCTGAAGTGCAGCCACCCAGCTATGAGGAAGTACAAAGGCTCAAGGCTTTGGAGGCAGCTGAAGATTTCACTCTACCTCTCTGCCATGTGAGTTCTGAACTTCAGACTAAGTTTTTTTTTTTACGAAGGTTCTCTTGGGACTAAGCTATCTTCTGTAGGTTTTGTATATCATCATTAGAATCACTTTTCTCTATATTTGTGGGGTGATGAATTATTTGCCTGAAGAAACTAAGAATACTGTAATATTGGAAAGAAGGTTGCAGTTACTCGTACTGTATTTTGCAAACTCCACAGTATCACAGAAAACCATCACCTCTACACTCCAGCAAATCATCCATAGCAATATCTCAACTACTTCAACAGCTAGGCGTTACATTTGAACACACACACAAATGTCAAACATTTATGCTTTTTTGACACATCCTCCCCTATTTCATTACTATTTCATACCACTGGTATGCTATTCATACAACACTCTACCACCATTTCTTATGTTCATAACCAGGACTTTCATTTCTCCAGACATTTTCTTTACCTGACATCTTCTTCAAATTTCTCGTTAGTCACACATACCCAAAGTATTTTAATTAAACAGATTCCATCACTTCTTCCTTCACCCTTAATTTATGCATAATAGATGGAAGCCACTCGATCTCTCATATTCTACTCAGCTAGAACTGGATTGTATGCATATATCAGCTGTCATTCCCTTATCTAACATTCACATTCTCCTGTAATATTCTCACCATAACCCCACCCTAATGACTCCTTAACAGTATACATTAAACAGCCTGTTGGGAGGACTTGCACATTGCACAACCCTGAATCCTGGTCTACTCCTACACCAGCCACTCGCTACACCATTAATTCTTCCACATTTTCTGCTGTGTGTGAATTAAGAAATGGGTTTCAAAAGATTGTAGAAAACTCTGCCAGGTTTACAAATTTTCTAACGAGTTAATAATTTACTCGTTCTCTCCATAAATGGTGGCTACTGTATTATTTTTTTCTTCAGTTTTATGCTTTTGAAATAAAGTTTGAAAAGTTCCTTTTACACTTGTGTGCATAAACAGAAATCAAAATGAAAAAATGAATCCTCATTGCTTATGATTTTGTAATACAGTAATTATTTTGTTAATACATTTATTTAATATTGTAATATATAAATACATAATTGAATAATTATTCATCAGGTGTGGCTTATGCCTGAATTTTTTTTCATTTTTCTGTTGCAAGGTATAAGACGTCTTTCTCTCTACAGCCCATTCAGTGTATGCTACTCTTATGCCCTTTATTACTCATTTATCATCTTTTTATCTTGAGATAATGCAGACAGTACTATAGTTTATATATTAGTGTAAGTTTCCTATACACAACTCTCTTGGTGAGTAAAGTAAACTTGTCTAAATTAGGTTTCTTTAGGAAATTATGACCTTATGGTAAATTATTTGCATTTATTCAAATATCAGTTAAAATTGAGCTAAAAGTTTAGCATTTTGATGTGAACTCCACTGTGGTGCAATCGACCTCGCATCCCCCTGTGTTAGTGATGGGGAGGGACTGGTGATCCACTCAAGACAAGAACAACCATTGATCAGGGCCACGTCTCTGCCCAGGCCCCTGAAAGCAAAGGCAGATTCATGTTTGGCAATTACTACTTTTATGTTGGGCATTTGCCACTTGTGGAATATCAAGAAGAATAAATAAGGAACAGAAAAGCTGGAAGTGGTGGTAGTTTGAGACAGGAAAATTTGAAGCGTTACGCTTGTGTGAGATAATAATGAAAAGAAATGATAATGAGAAGTTCATTGGAGTAAATGTTATGAGAAGAGCAGTTTAAGAAAATTAGAGAAATAAAGAATTAATATACAGTACTGTATTTGTTGATGAATAAACGTAGTATGGAGGCAAAAATAGCGTTTTGTATTGTATTTGAGAGGTTCACCTTATTTCCATATGGGATTTAGGTTATTTGTTTTCCTCCATATTATTATGACCTGTTCTCTGCAATTGTATATTCTCATATTTACTCTTTAAAATGATCCCTGTCACAAGAATGTGCTGGTACCTGAGGTCTGAAGTAGAGTGGCAGTAGAAAAATTGCTGTGCAAGATTATGTAGGTCCATTCATGTGGCATGCTGGATATTGAATGGTTTCGGTCGTGTATATTTGGTGGTTAAACTGCATTATACACAAATGTTAATTTTAAAGCTTCTATTACATAAAGAGAACCATTCTGTGAAAGATTATTCGGTTTGGGGTCTTCATATAAACAGCTTTAAATAGTATATTGTATTCAATTTAAAATATTGTTGGTTTAATATATCTAAACGAAACGTTTATTTGACATAACCTGACATTTATAAATTTTAAAGAATGGTAATTGGATTGTTAAGTTTCTCCTATGTAAAACATGACTATGTATTTATTGCTTGATTATACAAAGAACTTGAAGACAGATTATTAGTTGTTACAAGATGCAGTTTTTATTATTTTCTTAATCATTTGCATGGTAAAACATTAGTCCTTATTAATTTGTTATTTTTAGGGGAGTGGTTCTCTTGGTGGAGCCAACCTGACTGGAACAAGTGGTAGTGGGATGCGTGTTCTTCGTGTCTCATCTCTAGGGGGCCTTGACCCAGAAACTGCTGAAATAGCTGAGGAGCAACTGCTTGGGACAGACTTTATGTTCTTTGTTGCCTTTGCAGGTAAATATTGATTTAACTACTGTACTGTAATTGTTTACATTTTCAGAATTGGATATTTCCAACTATAGTATATATATATATTTTATGAGTTGCACTACTGTACCTTGTTGCCACATCACCAGTATGTGAATGTGTGATTCATTTATTTCACTCCTTAATCTTGCTTGATAGTGTTTCTGCTGCTTGTTTTTTATTTTTACAGGCTAGCAATTATTATTTTTGTTTGATTGGCAAAGAATTGGTTAGGGCATGCCAAGAACACATTTATTCCATTTCTCCTCTTCTGGGTGCTGTCTGGGGCCAAACTTTTCACATGACTTTTCTGGGAGGGGACCCCCACCCCTCTTTCTCTGGTATCTTCCCAAGCTGCACATCGGTAACATGCCAAACCTTCAGTACCACACCAGGCTATAATAATTCACAAGCACCACTCTGGTACCAGACACCCATATCAGAATCTGGTTTATTGGAAGGGGAAATGGGGAGTCTTGGTATCTTGGATTACCACAGTAACTTGTGGTACTAGTGCTCTTGGTTACTGTGAATTACCACGGTAACAAAGATCAAAGAACAATGAACCAAAAGGGGCAACTTGCACGGAATAAATTAGCAGCAAAGACCCGATATAAACAATTGGTGCCCGAGCCAAGCTACTGGCTTGCTCCACTTGCTGGCCACCAGATGGCAATCCAGTCTGCTCAGGAACCCTGGGTGACCTCAACCCCACCAGTCACTCGCCTGGTGTTATGCTGTCCAGTACTGTACCACTTTAGTGATCACAGACCACCTCTCGGATAAGAAGATTGGCAGATGCAGTTTAATGCTGAAAAATGTTGGGTTCTGAGGCTAGATAATGATAAAAGTTAAAAGATATGTCGGCTAAAGAGCATTGAAATTGTGAGGTCTGAATGCGAGAAAGATCTGTGGACCATGATTAGCAGGAATTCAAAGCCAAAAAATCTATGCATAAAATGTCTTGAATAAGGCAAATAAGATACAGTACTGAGATTTGCCTCTAGTAGCAGTTGCTGGTTAGGGGCTTACTAACCAGTTGCTACTAGAGTAAATGACTATTATTCTTCAGCTATATCTTCTTGTTTGACCCCATTTCAAATTATGCAGCAACTTTGGTCATTATGCTATAGACTGGGCATAAATTTACTTGAATACATCAATGAAGGATAAAGAGGCTAATCCCAGGAATAAAAAAAACTTATGTGGAGAAAGATCTATGCTACTACAGGAATCGTACCCAAAACCTTTAATTGTGAGCCAGTGGCAGACCACTGAACCATCAATAACCATTGATGGTTATTAACTTATTAAATACATTCATGTACAGTAATATATAATGTAAAGTAAATGTTATACTACTTTATTGCATTATTTTATGCTTAAATAATGCAATACAGTATTATAGGGTTACAGTACTTTCAATTAGTAAATTAACATATTTTATCTAAAATGTTACATTTTGGTGTTATAAATGTTTTTTGCCAATAAATTTTAAGTAAATTTATTTCCACCAAATTATGTGTGTGTTTGAGTCATAAGCACATAACTGTTTCAGGTAATATTTAATAGTATTTTGTATTCATAATTTTCAGCGGCTTTTGTCTTCAATTGGGTGGGATTTGTCCTACTGCTGTGCTTCTGCCATACAGTTGCTGGCCGTACAGGTGCTCTGGCAGGCTTTGGTCTGTCCTTGGCCAAGTGGGCTGTTATTGTACGACACTCCACAGACTTGGTTGCCGATTCAAACACTTGGCTTCTATGGCTTATAATGGCTCTTGGTAAGTACAGAAAGATACTTGTATTGAATATACTGTATAGTTTTCATTTGAAGATTCTTAAGGAAAATGTTGAAAATCCATCAAAGAATTCCATATTTGTTTTTTAGCAGTTTGACACAGTAGTTACATCTTGTTCATACATTTTTTTCAAGTACAGTATAGAGAGAATGGGGATTACCTTAGCAAGTATACAAGAGAGAGAGAGAGAGAGAGAGAGAAGAAAGTCACAAGCAGTAGATTCGAAAGATGGTAAAAAACGCCATTCTAGCCAAAGCCAAAGAGGTAGACGCAAGCAGCAGTGTATGTAGGTACAGAAAAGAATCATCAATGGGGGGAAGAACACTGTTAAGTACTTTTTCATAGGTAATAATTATAATCTTTTATGTTGTATCTTATGTTCTCTAATCTTGTTTCAGGAATGTTAATCTGCATGCGAGCCATCCTGCAGTACGTCCATGCTAAACGTGAGTGGCACCAAGTTCCCCATAATTCGCGACACCGTTTCTTCTTGTTCTACTGAAACTAATCAAAGTGTTATGTACCACATCATCTGAATATTTTGTATGCTTAGTCATGTAGATATAACCTGACAACATTTGGTATATACATTCTGATAAAGGCAGTTGTGCATGCCAGGTCATCTTCAATGAAGCACATATGCTAATGACGAGAGAGCAGCATTGTTAGACTTTGTTAAAGAATTTTGTAACTGGTTAATGTAATGTAGTTTCTTTGTATTAATTTTATGGTTACTGTACTATATTTAAAATTAGAATTGTGACTTTTACCCCTTGTTTATTAATATTTGATTAATCAAGGAATCCATAATCAGTTGCTGGTTTCTGCAACTTGATAGACTAATTTAAGTACATGACAAGCAAAATATAGCACTTTTAATATCATGTTTATTAGGTCTCTCAAGTAGGGAGAATTCTTTATGGTTTTGTTTGTTTATTTCCACTTGTATTGTTTACTTTTTATTTTTGTGCGATATATTGAGACTTAATTCTTAGTGTTGGCTCGGAACTTCAGATAATTGTGCATGATTATAAAAGTAAGCTTCCTATTGGAATTGGGCAGTGTAGCTTCCTCGTGGCTGAATTTACAATAGGTTTATAGTTTTGCTGTGTTTTATTAGGGGTCTGGAAACTAGAATAAACATAACTACTAACATTCTACTTGTATGCAATTATCAGGGACTGTGTTAAATTGGAATTAAACTCTTAAATGGTCTTGAATTGGAATTGCAACTGTATGAAGATGGTTTTTGCTCGAGGCAAATCTCTGCAGGTTATTAAATACATTGTCGTACTTATCTGGCTTAGTTTGTCAGACGTTAACAGTGCAGCTGGACTTATATTGCAACCAGTATATTTTTTTTCCACCAAAGGAAATGGTTTTTGAGGAAACAAATATTGTGCATACATTTTTTTAATACCATAGGCACATAATAGAAGAAAAAAATTAATGTCATTTTGATTTATTTTTGTTGATACAAATTTGGATAACTACTTATACTGGCACCTAATCCAGGTACTGCATTCTCGGGTACTTGCGTTGACCCGAGATCATTTTGAGAGGGGCATCGTTGTATCTCGCCGAAATATATGGAGAGCGCGAATTAGGATTTGAATGGCTTTGTTATATATATACCCTCTGGTATATCATTTAGTGTACAGAGTATTTTTATTATCAATTCATAATATTCTTTAATATTCTTTATATTGTGAGGTGTGTTATTACTGTATTAAAGTTATTATTGCTTTAGAGTATCTTACAGCAACATGTATATATATATTTATAATTTTACAACGGTTTATGCATATTGCATATATTGTATCGCATATTATATACAGTATATAGTTACACAATGTGTAGGCATAATTGTGGAATACTATATATATAATGTTTCCAATAATGCATATGCAATATGTATATTATTGTATAAGATCGTTATTATATTGTGCAATATTCACTTCCACAAATATTGTACATTATGATGCCCATGTATTATATGTAGTACAATAATATACAGTACACTATTGTAAATTATACAGTAGCTTATGTATATTTGAAGTCTGTAAAATATTTGGAGCAAGAGAGGAAGAAGGTAGTGAAAAATAGAACAAGATAGAACTAGGAAAGACATTTATATTCTTAAAAATGCTTTGATTGCGTAATATTATGCGTATTGCGAAACATCACCACGGGATAGAGAACACTGGTCTGATTACTTTCAGTAAAATTGCCTCTCCAACTGTTACTTTATTGGTTTTGTTAGCATAGCCTGTCCTGCATGATTTCTACTTTTTTTTTTTATCTTAGCTTTTGCCAAATTGGATACATAGTCTCCATGGCTTGGTGCCTTCTTTTATTATTTTACATACGTGCTAAATTGGAAGCTAGGGATGTGAATTTTTAGTTCAAAAGTCTCGTTCGATATTGTGGTGTTGTGATCTATATTGATTATGAAAATTTAAGGATTTCGTTATTCACATGTAGTGCATGACATTTTAACTAATGGAATGGGTTGAAGCTTATCTTAAATATATCCCTTTGACAAACTTTAGTACATTTTGGAAACATTTTAAAGTTTTAATATACTTAAATAGCCACTTATGCACCCGAGGCCAGATTCATGTAGCAGTTATGCAAGCACTTACGAACCTGTACATCTTTTCTCAATCTTTAGTGGTTTTGTTTGCAATTATTAAACAGTTAATGAGCTCTGAAGCACCCGGAGGCTGTTTATAACAATAACAGTTGATTGCGAAGTTTTCATGCTTGTTAACTGTTTAATAAATGTAACCAAAGCCGTCAAAGATGGAGGAAAGATGTACACGTTCATAATTACTTGTATAACTGCTTCGTGAATATGGCCCCTGGTATCTTGGCACTTATTACATAATAAGTTTTATGTGAATCCCTTAGCATTTGAGGGTTATATTACTCCTGACCTCATTTGGTGGTAGAGCACTGATCTTAAAGGAGAATTTCTAAAGTAAATGAAGCTGTTTGTCAATAGCTGAAATAACATAGATTTTCATGGTAGGCTGTACAGGTAGTTCTGAAAATTTGTCTATTGACTGAAAATGCATGAGAGCTCTCTGGCCAACCTTTGAAAACAAATATAAATGATGCGGTATACCTTTGGTAAGATATTGCTTTTAATTCTGGTTTTATATATTTATATAGACAAAATATTAATTTTATAAACCTTGTATTTATTAATCTTCTTGCCAAATATTCCACAACAGTGTTTCTTGTATTATTCTTCATAGTGATTGTGTTTGCATAAAACTAACTTATTTTTTTAATTAAGAAGTGGATTTTTATAGTTTTCCTTTTTAAAATTTAGATATTAAGTAACTTGCCATATAAACCAAATGCATTGTAATGTTATTTTAAACAACTGTACAAGAGGGATTGAGTACATTTATTTGCAATAAGAATATGGTCATTTTTTGCTTGTATACAGAGATGTGTGTGTAGTCTGCATGTCTTTGTGTGGGGTGCGTGTAGTCGGCATGTTTTGTATGGGGGGTGCGTGTAGTCTGCATGTCTTTGTGTGGGGCGTGCGTGTAGTCGGCGTGTCTTGTATGGGGGGTGCGTGTAGTCGGCATGTCTTGTGTGGGGGTGCGTGTAGTCGGCGTGTCTTGTGGGGGTGCATGTAGTCGGCATGTCTTGTATGGGGGTGCGTGTAGTCGGCATGTCTTGTGTGGGGGGTGCGTGTAGTCGGCATGCATTGCTGTAACACTTTTCTCACCTGACTTGAAACGCCTCCAAACAGCACTGCAGTCGCAGTATATAATATTGCCTTGGTCTGACTATATATAGATAAAAACATTGGAAATTATAAAAATATAGCTAATATTGGCTACTTTACAGAATCAATTATTTGGTTTATCAGTATGCGCATTACAGTGGAATGAAAAATCTGGGATATGACAAACTACAAACTCCTAAAATCTACTACATTTCTCATAATAAAGAAACTTGTAAAATCAGTGTTGATCCTTTGTTATTCACATTGATCTGACATTATGCATATTAATCTTGTCTTAGATCAATGTTAATAATGCCCATTCAACATCTCTTTTTGCTGAACTAATAAAGTATTTACATCAAAGTTGATCTGATAATGAATCAATGTCAATAATGTTGATACAGTGTGTAGTGATTTTTAGGTCCGGAAAGTTCACAAATGTAGAATTTGGTTAGTCCTGGCCATTGTAGATTTACTTTGATAACTAATGTAAGTATAAACATTCTTCATAATATGAATTTGTGGAGCAACCAATCGGATTCCTGCCAGGAATGAAGGATATCTAATGCGTTTTCCATCTGGATCACTATGCTGATCCTTCCGTGTGTGAAGTCCACCTAAACCACTTTACTTTTGGCACATTCCATTTCTTCGTTACTCTGAAAAAATTGCTCTTATATATGTGGCTTATCCAGTTATTTTATTTCCACCTGTCCCCCCCATCCCCCCTAGTCAGTACCATCCAAGTCAGTCTGATCTGATTACTATGTAAATCAAACCAAGCTTGGGCAGAAAGAGTGGGATATTAGAATGGTAAAAGGTGTGCGCAGATGACCAGAAGTGGCAATGAAGGGCATTCTAGGATGAACAATAGACCATGCTCTTGTGTTTTGTTTTGAAACAACTTGTGCTTGCTTGGAACTTAAAATTTCTTGCATGATCATAAAACTGGCCTTGCTGTTTAAAATTGAATAATTGAGTCGGCTTGGAGACAATTTGGATTTAATTTAAAAATGCCCAAAAATCTTGTTCACTATACAGTACATATACTGTAAATATTGGAATTGTGCAGATTTTATTTATAAAATAATGTACAGGATATTGTATATTTGTTTAACATAAATATAACAAACATGGTGGTTTGCTATTCAAGGTAGTTTTTTCTTATTAATATTTATTTGTAAAAATTATATAATTATAAATAAAGCTTAAATACTGGAAAAATGCAAACATGGTCCAATAAGCAACCGTGTGAATGCTTGTGAATGTGACTTAGTGATGGTATCTGGCCATATATTTATGCATCTTGGAACATAAGATAGTAAAAATGATCCAGTAAATAAATGTTTCGGCGTAGGGTCGTCAATAACAGACGTCATGCACACCCACATTCCCTTTATTTACAGTTTTTATACCTAGTTATATTAAATATTGTAATTAATTTTTATGGTTAATGTTGAGCACTGTACTTTAGTGTATTTGTGGTGGAAAAGTAGGAGTGAATTTGTATTGTACAGTATACTGTATGTACCATTTTGTTGAGTTAAAAGTGGGAAATAACCTTTTTTCAGTATAGAATTGTAAACTTTGTTTATAGTTTTTCGTACACTGGTTCACTTTTTCCCCACTTCCCTCGGCAAAATGACTAGTACAGGTACCTGAATATTATTATTACCGGTACTCGAGTAATTTTCCAGCCATAAATACAATACATAAAGAAGGGCAGAATATTTGGGAGGTGCCATAATATAATTATATATTGCATAAAGTGCATAAAAAAAAAAGATAGGAGTTACAAGATCAGGGGAATGTATAACACCTTGATAACACGCACCAAAATAACATTGCAATCTTTCAAACCCTCACAATGTATGAAATATGGGAGCTTTGTTTGCATGTGTGTATGTATGGGGAATGTACAGACAGAATGGGAGAACCTGCAGTTAATTAAATTTTAATATGACGGTAAAAAATATATAACACTACATGTTTATGCTGTAGTGAATCTATGTTAAGACTTAAAAGCATTAGTGAAGGTTATTTCCTTTCCTTTTAAGCAGCACAATCACTTGGACTGTTTGGTAGTGACGGCCTCGCTTTTTGCAGATCGGCGTTCAGTCCCCGACCATCCAAGTGGTTGGGCGCCATTCCTTTCCTTCACCCTATCCCATCTCCTTATACTTTTCAAGTGCTAATAGTCATAATGGCTTAGTGCTTTCTCCTGATAATTACCTAACCTACCTACCTTGTAAGTGCTTAACCAGCATGAACAAACAGTTCTGTTGGAAAAAGTATTTGTATTGCTTTTATGGGTGAGGGGAAAATGGCTAACTGTTATACTTGAGCATTAAAGGAATTTATTATAGCTACAGTGCATCAATTATTTTGAATACACATTTTTTATATAACTAATCTTGGATACTACTATTAGAATTTTAAGCTGTGCTGATATCTCTTAAATTCATTGTGATTAGGTTGGTTATACTCTGCTTTTAAGAACATTGGTACTGATGATTTTGGCTCCATCATTCAACAAAACAGTTGATTAGAAGTGGGGTAGCATAATCACAATGGAATTAATGTTCACGCTACATACCCTGTCTGGTCGGGATTTTATCACTAAATACGTAGAATGCTTTGTATTATGTCTGATATTAATATATACAGTATATTTTTATTATAATAGAAGACAATCTGATTTATATTTTCATTTGCATGCATCAGACTAGTTACAAAGCTTCAAAATTATTATAAGCTTTTAATTTTCTTACATATTTTATATATGTTCTCTGACAGATTTTCCTCTTTATGGTATATAATGTTGGGTAATAATGAGAACTATAGTTAAGTCTTGGTATGTTTTCAATTTTGGATTAATGCTTTATTGTGGGGGTTGCCCAATTGATATATAGACCAAATAAAAACGCTGTAATTATTACTTTGCTCGCCAAAAATGATTAATCTTTTCACCCAAACTTCAGTGAGATAGGTTGGTTGCACTTTGTGACACACATGACTCGCCTGAAGTATCATTTTTAATAGGATTTAGGGTTTGGAATGCTGCTTCATCATTGAAAGTGAACATTAATACATAATTTATGGCTTATAATTTAAAACATTTGACCAAAAGTATGGAACATGAACATTCCAAAAAGGATTGCAATGGTGATCTTGTAACTATATTCAATGATTTGTTTCTTTGGAAACGGCTCTTTCTTGAGAATGTGGCAAGAATAAAGATTACTTTGTTGCCACAGTTATCTATATACAAGTGGAAGAAAAGCAGTTAAATCACAAAGGCACAAGTAAGGGATAAAAGAATAAAGTGGATTCACAAAAAGATACTGTGGAAGTGCCAAAAAAGTTGATCAATTAGCTGTGGCAGAGCAGATATAGAAAAGAACCATTACTTTGACAAATGGTAATTTTATCCTTCGTACTAGTGCTTCCACAGTTCTTCAATAAAATCCTCGGTGTGTGCATTTTGTTTGATATTGTTCGTCTTGTGTCTTTCTGCTCTCATATTGGCGTCCTGAATGACATCTAGGAACTGTTGAATGTTCTTCAGCAGAGACTGTGCCACATAGCCATCTGGACTTGATGTTTTCATTTAATAATTACTTAGTGCTTCCACACACTACTACCTAAATGTGGGTTTTTAATGTCAATGTATCCAGACTAATGTATTAGTGTTGATTTTGGATGGTAATTGTAATTGTGCTCATGTATTTAGTACATAATAAATGCAACATTTACTTCACAGTAAATTGATTGACTGAAAGTTTCACCGTCATAGAAGAATTGGTATTGTTCAAGGTCTTAGGATAAACAGCGTAGGCTTTTGTTATATTTTAGTTTAGCTAGTGTGTAAGAAAGGTGATGAAAATTATAAGGGAAAAATTAAATATGATAATGGAACTGGTGTTAATTATGCTTTTATTAAACAAGGAAAGTACAGTAGTTCATTATAATATAAGCCTGCTAATATGAGATGTAAATTGGTTTTACTGGACTCATTTAGTATGATTTTAAAAATGCACCCCAAATTTTGTTTTAATTAATTTCCAACTGTTATCAATTTAATATACTGTGTGGTTAAATTTGTCACTAAATTACTTAGTCCTTAGGAACAGCATTAGTAAATGGTAGGTGCATAGCCAGTATGCTTTTATAACCTCCCTTGTGTTTTGAGATATGTGCTAAGGAATGTATACAAAAATATGTACTACCAAATGCAATGTTTCTGAGGTACAGTAATGAACAAGTTGAGTACATGCCTCGATATATTTGGCACAAGAATGCCCATTGTTGGTGCACCGAACAAGCCATATTTATATAGACATTGAATGTTGCGGAGTTCTGACTATATATTTTGTTTGTATTCTTTTAATGACTGGTTAGTGAGAAATGGTAGAGCACAAACCAAAGCACCCAGCACCACCTAACAACTTACGTTGCACATGTAGAAAATATAAAATCTTCTTTGCACTTTTATCACTTTAACATTACTGGCTGGGATCTAGATATATATATATTGCCTTTGAGTTCATGTATAAGGTAGATGGAAGTGTAAAAGATGTAATTAAAACTGTTAAAGAGCAACACAGTTTTATGTGGGATCATTAGTCTAGCAGGTTTTATATTGGTTTATGTTTAGTGTTTGGGCATTTGCCTGTAAATATTAGCGTGCCACCCAGCCATCCACTTTGCAATAAGAGGAACCACAATGCAGGTAAAAATATCACATATCTCACCATTTCAAGTCAGACATTTCTAGTCAGTCAATATTAAATAATTTTTATAGCATATTGATTTAATATATTTTTTTCTGTTATCATCATGTTCATTCCATTGGCTGAAATATTCATGAAGGTTAAGAAATAGCTATTAAGGAACGTTCTATATCAGTCTGACTGTAGGTACCACGGTTTTATCTCGCATTGTATGCTATATACATCTTAATCTGTTAGAATTAAGTGCACCATCATTTCCCCTCTTGCAGTGTGCATTTCTGCGTACTCAGGGTCAAGAAGATATTTGAACCAGGTTTGTTAAGGGTCCATAGACATAATGGCCTCATACAGTGTTCTTATATTTAAATTATATTGCACAATTAGAGTGTGTGTGTTTTGATGAATTTTAAATTGATAATGTATGCAAATATTTAATCATACTGTACTATACTAGGAAGAAAGTTTTGAACTGTATAGTGCAGCTTTATACCATCTAAATAGCATATGCTGTATTTATTCTTCAAATTAGAGATCTTCATATTTGTCATTAAAAAAACAATGGGAATATGTATAGAAGCATTTTGGTTTTTAAAAAACCAGTTATTCAGAATATATTTATGCTGGACATGTTAAAGACAGGTTTTCAATGTTACTTTTCAATGTGACTTCTGGAACACCTTAGCAAATAAAAACAGTTGCTCTATATTTTGTTTCCATAATTCTAGTTTGTGTAGAGGGCATGTGGAATGGAAAGAGGGGGTAAAGGTGGAACAGCAGTTGTAAGTGATGAAAGATGATATATACTAGTAGTATTGTACTGTACTGTTACTGCACTACTTGGTCTCTGTTAGACAAAATCAAAACGAAGCAAGAATGATTGAATTCTATAGTCAATATTATAGTTTTAAAGGATAAATTTGTCAGTTAATTACAAGTTCTCCATGCAATGACAGAAATAAGAACTAATTTCTTATATTTTGTTGGTTTAATGAATGAGATATGCTCAGTGTCAAAAGAGTTGCAAAACAATTGATATAGAGGTTTGAATTGATCCAATCGGTAGGATTAGGCTCTGGGATAATATGGGGGAAGGCAGTGTTAATGGGTCTGGAATAAATAAAATAGTCTTCAAAGAGCTGATTTTGAGGAATTTAAAGAATTTCTTGGGAAGGATAGAGTGGACAGACATATAGAGGGGGAATAGCAATTATGGAAAGGGTTAAAATAAGGAGTAGCAGCAGCAGCAGTAAGGAGAGGAAGTAGCAATATATGTCAAAATTTAAAATGTAATGTCCAAAGCTCCACATACAGAAACAATTTGTCTAGAAATTAAATAAATTAATAATAATTTAGTAATTAGGAGCTATATACAGGCCACCAAACTTTGACAAAATGGAATCAAAGTATATATGGAATGAAATATCTAGAACAAACTAGTTATTCGGATGACTTTAATTTTAGTGGAATAAACTGGACTAACAAAACGGAATGCCGAAACTGAAGATTTGTTATAATTGACGAATGCTTCTTTAAAAAATGTATTAGGAAACCAACAGGGAAATAATACATTAAACTTAGTATCATCTAACAGGGGGAACAATTAAATAACACTGAAATAGGGAGTGAGCTAGGGAACAGACATCACAAGGAAATCTTGATATAACGTAGCCTTGAAGTGAACATTATTGAGTGCCATATTACCAAAGAGCTGATTTTGAGTAATTAATGAGTTTCATTGGAAGAATAATTCCTCAGTGATATTTAGCGCCTCGAATATCCAGCGACAGTGATTGAAATTGAAATTGAAATAAGTTTATTGAGGTAAAATACACACAAAGGGATGAGGTAGCTCAAGCTATTCTCACCCCGTTGCGAAAGTGATGGTTCTACATGGTCTCTCCGGCTTGGTGCCTTTATCTTTTGATAATTACTTGCTTACTCGGGAAGGATAAATTGGACTAAACAAGGGAGATAGACTGCTGCTCACGGGACGTGACAAAGGATTATGAAGCTGATTTAAATTATAATTTATTGAAAAACATTCTTAGTAAGGCCTTTGGGCACAGTATATCTATTAAATTGATTAAATCAAATAACAATGACCCAAAATATGTAACCTTAGCTGAAGAAACTTAAATGTAAAAATAAAGTTATGTACAACATGTCGGTATGTAGTCAGTGTTGGAGAGAAGACTGGACATTACTTCGCGACAATCTAGGTAGACTTGAATTGACGAAAATTCAATTGTCAGATGCAGTTTAATGCTGAAAATTGTAGGATTCTAGGCTAGATGATGATAGAGTTACCAGATATCAGCTGGATGGTGTTGAAATTGCAAAGTTTGAATGCGAAAAACACGATTAGTAGGAATTTAAAGCCAAAATATCAATGCATAATCGTTCAGAATAAGGCAAGACATTGGATGCTGTGATTTATTTCTAGAAGCGTTACCATTAATACAGTTAATGTTATTCTTCATCTAAATCTTTCTCTTGTTAGGCCCCATTTGGATTATGAAGCTCAGTTTTCGTCACCATACTAGAGAATGGACATAAATTCAGTTGAACAAGTTCAGCGAAGGATGAGAAACCTTCCTTATGAGAGACTGAGAAAGCTTAATTGACATTACCGTAAAAGGAGAAGAGTTAGAGGTGACATGACGGAAGTGTACAAGTGCATATAAGAATGATTGAATAGGCACAACAAAGGTGGATATTAATAAGTTTATTTATTTATTTATACACAAGACCATATATCAGGTTGTGCGAGTACATAAATTGGTGATTGAGTATTATATTCTTGCAAAGCCACTAACAAGGTATTTATATAAACAAAATAGAACACGAAACAATGGATATAAGTTTAATTAATTTAGATTTAGGAAAGACCTGGATAAATTGAACAAGGCTAGGGGGGGTAGAAATAGCCTAAGCTACTCTATCCCTTTGAGATGTATTTCTTTCTTGTCTCAATAAACATACTTGAACATGAACTTGAACGTTGATTTGTTGGCGACTAACAACATGGCGCAGGAAGGAGGCGCACGCAGCGTTATTCCAACCGAAAACTGTAGGAAATCAGAAAACCCAACGACACATGGGAGGCATATGGATAACGAAGTTTTCTCGCTCCCCGAGGAGAATAACGAAGGCGATTTCCTACACAGCAAATACAACAGTAAGGCAAATAATACTGGATGCAGAGCTTCAGGCACCAACCCTCCCGTGCAAGTCCTCGTGGCCAGTCCCAGGTACGACATGTCTTCTTCATGAGGTACTTTTGAGTTCTGTAATTACTTCATATACTCAGGAATATTGGAAGGTATACTTATGCCGTACCCAGATTTTGCCTTACATTTGACATGTTCTCACCTGACTTAGAGTTGTTTGTTTTTGTATTTGAGGCTGGTATTTCCTCCCCTGAGTTTTAGTACGACTAATCATTACTAATCATAATTAGTACGACTAATCATAATTAGTACGACTAATCATAATTTGTACGACTAATCATCCTGTGATACGGGAATATTAGATGAACTTATAGCTAGTTTTTAATCTACTCTGTAATTTTTCATATAGAATAGGGTAGCAGCACGATGCTGTGTATACCTAAGCCTGTTAAACAACAACAAAAATCTTCACAGAACTTATATCATTTCTTTTGAAGTGAATGAAATGTTTCTTTACACGGTAGAAGGTTACCTTATATATATATATATATATATATATATATATATATATATATATATATATATATATATATATATATATATATATATATATATATATATATATATATAATTTTTTAATATATATACACACGACCCCAAAAATTGGGGCTCGAAAAATCAAGTTGATTTGATTTTTTTTTTAGTCAAGAATAACGACAGGTATATATACTGAGAGGTGTAACTTCTCGATGCATATAAACTGATTTTTCTTAAGTCCTGTGCTATATTCAGGACGAAAGTATACTTGTCAGTAAGCAATTGTGGTGGGCCAAACAACCGCCAAGATAGGTTAATAGGCTTTAACCCCAACACCGCTGTCTAATGAACGCTCACGAAATAAAGGCTGTTGGTGTTGTTTTAGATTTAGCTACTAAGAACGAAATGTCCATGTAGCACGGGCTATGGTGAGCCCGTGAAATAAAGGCATCATCCAGGTTTTAAGTTCTTCACATCTTGGTGGCTGCTAATGCTCTTCTCGTTCTCACCTCACCGGGGGTTTGTTCTCACCAGTTGCTGTTGCGGTATCAATTATTTTCCTTCAGCACTGGCTCCAGCTTGCCATCGATAGAGTTTCGTCTTGGGCAACCAATCACGGCTGTAAGCGTTCTTCTGAAAGCTTGTGCTATGGCTTAATATAGGAACATTGTCTTCCACCCGTCCTTGACTTATTTTGGAAGTCCTTGCAGTGTGTGGCCATTACATTTCGACTGCAATGTAGTGGCCATATTGAAAGAGATAATTTTTTCTTGAACTCGGCCCACATAGAAATACATATATCGGATATTACCCTTGCAAGTAGGATATAACAATGTACATCACGATGATCATATCAACATTACCAGGCAGCAGATTGGTGAAGAAAAAGACCTTCAGGAGTTAGGATCCACCCGTCACTGAAAGTTGTGTCAAAAGTAGGAGCTACAGTAAAAAATAACATTTTAGAATAGTCAAACGAACCTTTGACCTTAAGGAAAAGAATGCGGTTATTCAACTATACAAAAATCTCTGGTATGACCCCTACTGTATCCAAGCATGGAGATCTCACCTTGAAAAGGGCATATCTATCTTTATAGAAAGTTCTAAACAGAGCGACAAAAATCATCCCAGAACTGTCAAATCTCATACCAGGAACAGTTGAGGGCCCAGAGAACTAACATGTCTGGCTTTCATGTCTGCAAACAGACATGAAAGTGATGATCTCATCGAGATAGTTAGAATAGATAGTCTCCGTGGTGTAGTGGTAAGACACTCGCCTGGCGTTCCGCGAGCGCTATGTCATGGGTTCGTATCCTGGCCGGGGAGGATTTACTGGGCGCAATTCCTTAACTGTAGCCTCTGTTTAACGCAACAGTAAAATGTGTACTTGGATGAAAAAACGATTCTTCGCGGCAGGGGATCGTATTCCAGGGACCATAGGATTAAGGACTTGCCCGAAACGCTACGCGTACTAGTGGCTGTACAAGAATGTAACAACTCTTGTATATATCTCAAAAAAAAAAAAAAAAAAAAAAAAAAAAAAAAAAAAAATAAATACTGAACAAGTCAGAGTATATTAATCAAGACTAATTCTTTAGAAGGTCAAATGTAAACATACAAATGGCAGCAGTTTCAAACTAAGGAAGCCACAGTGTAGGGCAGAAAACAGGAAATGCTTTTTGTCACTCATAAGGTTATAATGTAAACCCATGGAACCGCCTACTTGCCGAAGCCGTAATTATCTCTTCAGTTCAAAATCCTATTAGAAAAAATACACGCAGCAATGGGGCACCTTTGACAAGCTGCCGGCTTCCTATCCTCGTCTAGGTCACTAGAGATATTTAGGAAAATAAGGGTAATTGAAAACAGTGAAATAATATGTAAGTATAATTTTGCATAATATTTTTTTTAAATAGCATATTATAATATAAACTATAATACGATATAATATTGCAATGATTTAAACTTTAAAAAATAACAGAATTTATATTTATTAAAATTGCATTTCAATCTATAAACAAATCATATGAAAAACTGTTTCAATAACTAATATAACTAATATAAATTACAAAAAAACAACAATGTAAATTATATTTTAAATAAATTTAGAGTTCATTAAAAATTACATTACAAATTGCAATTTGAATTACTATATAGATTACAATACTAACTGTTACAAAATGCAAACTATGTTACAAATAATGGTAAAAATCACACAACAAATTACATAGTCCATCACGTCCTAAACTACAGTGCGACATACAAACATTACAATACAGAACACATCACGAATCACAAATAGCATTGACACCAATTATATAACAGGCCTTTAGACATTTACTCTTGGGAGGGTCGAGGATTGGGGGGTGATGTAGAGGGTAGGAAATGGGGAGGCGGAATGGGGGTGAGGAAGTGGAAAGGAAATATGCGAGAATGGGGATGAGGAGGGTGGGATGGGGGAAGGAAGGAAGGAAGGAAGGAAGGAAGGAAGGAAGGAAGGAAGGAAGGAAGGAAGGAAGGAAGGAAGGAAGGAAGGAAGGAAGGAAGGAAGGAAGGAAGGAAGGAAGGAAGGAAGGAAGGAAGGAAGGGGGAGGCGAGGATGAGGCGAAAAGGAGGGGTAGAAATGAAGATGGAAGTTGACTACTTCAGAACGACAGAACAGAAATATGAATCAATGTAACGAAGAAAATAGAGTGCGAATAGAAAAGGAACAAATACGGTAAGGAAGACAAGGTAGACAAAATAAATAGACATGATTGTTAGATATTAGAGTTTAGGCTCTAAAGCCAAACTCAGGAATAGGCTAACAAAAAATGTTAGCAGGTCGCCTCAACCTAAGTTCGCCTGAAAAAAAAACTCTAGTATAAGTATTTTGTCAACACTAAGAAGGTAGCCTCGGCCTCTGCTCTCCTGGAAAATAAATCTATATATGATTAACACAATGACATCATGGCAAATATATACAAATATGTAAACTTCATTGTTAAATTGATAAAAAAATATGATCTTTATTTATGGCTAGTCTGACATGAATAAACTTTCAGATGTTGATTTATATAATTGATTTCTTAAAGATAGTTACTTTTGATAATTGGAAAAAGATTATGAATAAATTACTGCATACTGGTAACTGTACAAGGAATATCTTAGAGCGTATGCAAGTCAATAAATGGAATGCTCTAGAGTAATAGTATATCAAATAATAACATTTGATATAGTTGGACTATTGAGGATTGAACTCCGACAGTGTAACCGACTAGAACTTTATCTGACCCTACGCGTTTCTCTAACGGCTGGATATTTACCTAACTTTACCTGAAATCCACAATCTCTAGTGACCTCGACGGGGACAAGAAGCCGGCGGACTGTATGAAGGTTGCCCCATTATTGCTGCGAATGTTTGCCAGCTGAATTTTAAACTGACGTACATAGCATAACCATTTATAACAAATAAATCTTTTAACATTATAGACAAAATATTTAAATTACGATTTACTAAGCAGCCGTTGTGTTCTTTACGACCTACTGAGAGGTTCAACAGTTTGATTCTGTAGTTATTTGAGTGTGAGATTTTACGCAACTAATACTAACAGGTGTACTGAGATCTTACACAGCCAATAGATACGCGGAGAGCTTATACAACTAACACTAACAGATGCACGGAGATCTTACACAACAAACATACATTGAGAAAGAAAAATCCTTTTAATTGTTTCGAAATGCTCGACACGTCATTAAAATAACAGTCAGTTCCTTTGACAATTGCATTTGATGTTTAGAATATTAACTCTGCACAATAGCAATACGCTTTATCTGGTGATTGGAATTGAAACGTAAAAGCCGTCCAAATCTCTAATATAGGATTTAATAATTTAAAACCGTGTTGAATCTTCAATATTTCCTCTTCCAGAAGTCGTAATGGCTTGGCGCTTTCCCCCGAAAATTTCCCCCCCTCTCCTTCTCTCTTCCTGTCTCCCTTTCTACTTCTCCCCATCTTTATTGCTTCTCCACACCACCCCCCCTGCCTATTTTCGGTTGAAATTGCTACCATATTACCATACTGTTTTCAGCTTGACCTTGGTAATAACCTAGAATGAAGCGAAATCTACCTTGATCGCATCTCTGAATCATCAATATTTTATACGAATCACGGATTATCTGCCTGAATCTCATATGATAATTTACCTAAATCTCAGGCATAATCACGCGTTATGTAGCTGCATGAATCACAAGTTACCTACCTGCTTGGCTGCTTGTTGATGACGGGACTGTTGTTCCTGATGAGGTGGTCATGTTTCCAGGCGAAGTAGACGTTGTTTCTGCTTGAGGGATTGTTGTTGTTGATCCAGAGGGTGTTGTGGTAGCCCCAGCGGTTGTGGTAGCCCCAGCGGTTGTTGTGGTAGCCCCAGCGGTTGTTGTGGTAGCCCCAGCGGTTGTTGTGGTAGCCCCAGCGGATGTTGTGGTAGCCCCAGCGGTTGTTGTGGTAGCTCCAGCGGTTGTTGTAGTAATAGCCCCAGTGGTTGTAGTGATAGCCCCAGCTGTCGTAGTGGCAGACCCAGTAGTCGTGGTTACTGCTTGAGAAACTGTAGTAGTTGTACCAATTCGAGCGGTTGTAGCTTGAGAAGTATAGTGAGGCGAGCCTGTAGAACTTCCATTGGCAATTCTTTGTTGACATTGAGCATCGCAGTAATCAGACGTACAATCGGCATTACACTCACCAATCAAGCCTGGTTTAGACAAACTGGTTCTGCATGTCGGCATGCCAACGACCGGTAACGCACACGCTGCAACACAGGTTCCAGGCTGTGGCCCCGTCACAGCTGTGCAGGCTCCATGTGTGGTTACCGAGCAGGTCGCCAGCAGCAGCAGGAGTGAGAGGAACATCCTGATGGGGATGCACGGCGACAGGACACGAGGGCCCGTGAATGCCGCAGCGCCACGATTGCTAGACTGCTCTTGCCTTGTGGAGGGGGTTGCAAGAGCTCTGGTGTGGGATTTCAAGCCATGAAGTGAGTGTTGATGCTGTGCGATAAGGGGTCAAGTTTGACGTTGCAGAATACCGTCAACGATTTTCTGAAAAGTCAACATTTTTTGGTTTGTCTTAGTGTATATATTCCGTGTTATTACTTGCAAATACTTGGGCTTATGTTTATTCAACCAGTGGGATATGCATATCCAGCTTGTGGTAATTGCTTTAATTTAATATCTAGATTTGTTTTATTTACTACTTTAATTATTTTTCTGATATTACAAAATATGTATAAACAAAACAAAATCAGAGCAATATTATATATATATATATATATATATGCAAACAAGCCTGAATGGTCCCCAGGACTATATACAACTGAAAACTCACACCCCAGAAGTGACTCGAACCCATACTCCCACAACTGGTATGTACAGGGACGCCTTAATCCGCTTGACCATCACGACCGGACATAAGGAAGTGATAGCCGAGGCTATATGAACCACTTCCCCGCCGGCACTCGGATGGTAATCTTGGGCATAGCATTTTATCAAATCACCTCATTCTTTGGGGCACACGTGAGGAACACAAATGCAAACAAGCCTGAATGGTCCCCAGGACTATATACAACTGAAAACTCACACCCCAGAAGTGACTCGAACCCATACTCCCACAACTGGTATGTACAGGGACGCCTTAATCCGCTTGACCATCACGACCGGACATAAGGAAGTGATAGCCGAGGCTATATGAACCACTTCCCCGCCGGCACTCGGATGGTAATCTTGGGCATAGCATTTTATCAAATCACCTCATTCTTTGGCCTCACCTCAAGATTACACCTCACCTCAAGATTACCATCCGAGTGCCGGCGGGGAAGTGGTTCATATAGCCTCGGCTATCACTTCCTTATGTCCGGTCGTGATGGTCAAGCGGATTAAGGCGTCCCTGTACATACCAGTTGTGGGAGTATGGGTTCGAGTCACTTCTGGGGTGTGAGTTTTCAGTTGTATATAGTCCTGGGGACCATTCAGGCTTGTTTGCATTTGTGTTCCTCACGTGTGCCCCAAAGAATGAGGTGATTTGATAAAATGCTATGCCCAAGATTACCATCCGAGTGCCGGCGGGGAAGTGGTTCATATAGCCTCGGCTATCACTTCCTTATGTCCGGTCGTGATGGTCAAGCGGATTAAGGCGTCCCTGTACATACCAGTTGTGGGAGTATGGGTTCGAGTCACTTCTGGGGTGTGAGTTTTCAGTTGTATATAGTCCTGGGGACCATTCAGGCTTGTTTGCATTTGTGTTCCTCACGTGTGCCCCAAAGAATGAGGTGATTTGATAAAATGCTATGCCCAAGATTACCATCCGAGTGCCGGCGGGGAAGTGGTTCATATAGCCTCGGCTATCACTTCCTTATGTCCGGTCGTGATGGTCAAGCGGATTAAGGCGTCCCTGTACATACCAGTTGTGGGAGTATGGGTTCGAGTCACTTCTGGGGTGTGAGTTTTCAGTTGTATATAGTCCTGGGGACCATTCAGGCTTGTTTGCATTTGTGTTCCTCACGTGTGCCCCAAAGAATGAGGTGATTTGATAAAATGCTATGCCCAAGATTACCATCCGAGTGCCGGCGGGGAAGTGGTTCATATAGCCTCGGCTATCACTTCCTTATGTCCGGTCGTGATGGTCAAGCGGATTAAGGCGTCCCTGTACATACCAGTTGTGGGAGTATGGGTTCGAGTCACTTCTGGGGTGTGAGTTTTCAGTTGTATATAGTCCTGGGGACCATTCAGGCTTGTTTGCATTTGTGTTCCTCACGTGTGCCCCAAAGAATGAGGTGATTTGATAAAATGCTATGCCCAAGATTACCATCCGAGTGCCGGCGGGGAAGTGGTTCATATAGCCTCGGCTATCACTTCCTTATGTCCGGTCGTGATGGTCAAGCGGATTAAGGCGTCCCTGTACATACCAGTTGTGGGAGTATGGGTTCGAGTCACTTCTGGGGTGTGAGTTTTCAGTTGTATATAGTCCTGGGGACCATTCAGGCTTGTTTGCATTTGTGTTCCTCACGTGTGCCCCAAAGAATGAGGTGATTTGATAAAATGCTATGCCCAAGATTACCATCCGAGTGCCGGCGGGGAAGTGGTTCATATAGCCTCGGCTATCACTTCCTTATGTCCGGTCGTGATGGTCAAGCGGATTAAGGCGTCCCTGTACATACCAGTTGTGGGAGTATGGGTTCGAGTCACTTCTGGGGTGTGAGTTTTCAGTTGTATATAGTCCTGGGGACCATTCAGGCTTGTTTGCATTTGTGTTCCTCACGTGTGCCCCAAAGAATGAGGTGATTTGATAAAATGCTATGCCCAAGATTACCATCCGAGTGCCGGCGGGGAAGTGGTTCATATAGCCTCGGCTATCACTTCCTTATGTCCGGTCGTGATGGTCAAGCGGATTAAGGCGTCCCTGTACATACCAGTTGTGGGAGTATGGGTTCGAGTCACTTCTGGGGTGTGAGTTTTCAGTTGTATATAGTCCTGGGGACCATTCAGGCTTGTTTGCATTTGTGTTCCTCACGTGTGCCCCAAAGAATGAGGTGATTTGATAAAATGCTATGCCCAAGATTACCATCCGAGTGCCGGCGGGGAAGTGGTTCATATAGCCTCGGCTATCACTTCCTTATGTCCGGTCGTGATGGTCAAGCGGATTAAGGCGTCCCTGTACATACCAGTTGTGGGAGTATGGGTTCGAGTCACTTCTGGGGTGTGAGTTTTCAGTTATATATATATATATATATATATATATATATATATATATATATATATATATATATATATATATATATATATATATATATATCTATATATAACATTTAACTTACAAGTAGCGTAGAGAAAGAGAGAGAGTGGGAGATGTGTTCTGTGTGAGGGGTGAGAGAACTCTGAGAGCGCCTGCCTCCTCAAGTCACGACGGCGCCTGTGACATGCACCCACTCCAACAGTTGCATTCAAAAGGCTTTGGAACACGCTCTTGCTGAACGCAGGCAAAATTTTATTATGCATAGATCAGGTTCGGGAACGGCCACTGAAACCTTGCAACAAGAGCACCTATGTGACAATATCCATCTGAACACAATGCAAACACTCAACATCAAGGGCGTCGTATGCATATTAACTAGGTGCCAAGTCACGTAGGAATGCCAAGGAATGACATTGCAGATGAAACTGCAAAACTTCAAACTTCCACCTCCTTAGGCATTTACAGACCACAATCTACCACAGTTTCAGGTGTCTGCTGGAAAACGAGAGTTTAGGAGGACGCAAGGCTATTAGTCACAGTGTCCCCGAGCGTATTATACTTGTTTTCTATATTGATTCTTAACCTCGGCAAAGGATTTAACTTGAATTAGAGGGGCAGTGAGTGCCTTGGGTGACGTCCATCAACAAGGTTAATGGAACCAAGCCCGTGAGAAAATCTCTGACGTGCTTGAGGGCGATGGCTGACGACATTAGGCAGTGTTTATAGCCCTCCAGACCGTGAGAAATTCAAGGAACATATCATTACCTCTACACTCACCAGTCATGTACCTCTCTACCACTTTATTTACACGCCGTGATAATGGTCCAGGACGGTCCGAAACATAGGCACTTACTATATTTTCAGATGTGTGGGTTAGGTGTCAGGTGTGGGTGTGTGGGTTAGGTGTCAGATGAGTGGGTTGGTATTAGGTGTGTGGATATGTGGGTTAGGTGTCCATTTATCTTCTGCCTACGTTATTTACAAATATCATGAGGCTTTTGTTAACTAGTGATCAATTTGACATTTGGAGGAGGGTAACATCCACGCAACCACGAGTCCTTATTCATCTATTCATTTCTTATTCACCAAGAGGAATAAAGATAACCAGAGAGAGTTATGTATGCAATATACAATAAGAAATATTGGGATCGCCCGAGAGCGCTGTGCAGATTTGTCACTCTTGAGAGCGTTGAGCCATAAATATGAGCGTCACGCGGTCAGTCACTTGGTCACACACCACTCCTGTGCCAGGTAAGTCCACTACGGGCTCACCATAGCCCGTGCTACTTTGGAACTTTTGTTCTAAGTAGCTGAATTTAAAACAAAAACAACAACAGCTCATTACACAACAGTGCACAGCGCTGCAGCCATGGGGGGGGGGGGGGGGTTACAAGTCTAGCTGAGAGATAACCATTCTGTCACAAGCTCACCTTTAGGTCGATAGTAATGGAAGCAATGACCAGTAAGTGGTTGACATATAAAAGTATGGCAACCTTACACACCACAATGTTTCGTGTGTGTTCACAAAGTCACTCAATGGGCCAAGATCCACTAAGTGTGCACTTAGATTTCAGTATGCAGAAATGGCAGCTAGCGTGTATGGTTTATAGATTCAGTGCTGGCCCGAGGTTAGTGGTTATCTTGAGATGATTTCGGGGCTTTAGTGTCCCCGCGGCCCGGTCCTCGACCAGGCCTCCACCCCCAGGAAGCAGCCCGTGACAGTTGACTTGTTAGTCAGCTGTCACGTAGGTACCTATTTTACTGCTAAGTAACAGGGGCATAGAGTGAAAGAAACTTTGCCCATTGTTTCTCGCCGGCGCCTGGGATCGAACCCAGGACCACAGGATCACAAGCCCAGTGTGCTGTCCGCTCGGCCGACCGGCTCCCTATGGCCCTGGACCCTGTGATAATGGAGGCCTCTGGACCCTGTGGTCCTGGTGGCCCTGGACCCTGTGGTCCTGGTGGTGTAACAGAGTATTTAAACACGTAGAATATTTACAAACAAGATGTTTATTAGTTTTAGATGTTTACAAACCAGATGTTTATTAGTTTCAACGACAGCATTGTGTGTTTGTTATACAGACGGTCGGGCATCCATGATATCAGGTGGGTACGTTGCTCTGTGCATGAGGCTTCTCCCTCCCGTCCGCACCACCTCCCCCATACCCCACCTTACCCCAGACCCGAAGCCTGGCGGTGCCCATGCACAGACATCAGTAGCTCCCCGGCTGCCCCATGACAACACCTGTCTTCCCACCCTCTCCAGAATAACACAACTTCAACTCATCGATACAACTAACAGGTATTCTCTCCAATCATTTCTTAGATTTAAGTCTATGTTTACTAGACCGCGTTGCTCGTATGTTTTGAAGGTGTGGATTGCTACTAGGAAACTTTAATGGTACCGAACGAAAGGTTTCAAATTTCGGCTATGTACCAGTTGGGTACTTCTGAGAGACTTCCTTATTGTGAGCATTCATGGACTTATTCATAATAATAATTCATTGTGTCGGGGAACAGGCAGCCAGTTTATATATATAGTATATGTTAGGCTTATATACATACCTGCCCCCCCCCTAAATGGTCACTGACCCCCTCCCTCTCAAAATGCAACCCCACAACAAGCTGACTTAACTCCTTGATGTACTTATTTAGTTGTAGGTGGACAGGGGAATTAGGTGATTGGAAACGCGCCCAACCATTTCTGTCCCTAACGGGATTCGAACTCTGAATTCTCGATTGTGAGTTGTAGCTAGAGTGACGGTCTCGGCATATATTATGACTTGGTTAGATAGGCTTGTTATGTAACAACCTTCCTGATCTTTTGATTCACAATATCTGATAGGATGGCTTCTGTGTACCTGACAAATAAGTGACAAAGTCTGAGAGAACGGCTTTTAAGACTTCCTCACTGCACTCATGGTGTTCCTTCTGACTTCCTCACTGCACTCATGGTGTTTTAAGAAACTCGGTGAGGCGTCACTCAGAACACTGCAGTGGTTCAAGAGCATGCAGTCTCTGCTTGGGTTTTCTACCTCAAAAAAAATGAATCTTGAAAAGTTGCAACGAAATTCTTCCCAGAACGACGTGAGATGGGATACAAAGCAAGACTGAAAGCCCTGGACTTCATGACGCTAGAATAACATAAAAGACAGGAGTCATGATAAAAGATGAAAGGGTTTCTATGAATAGAGACAGATGAGCCATTGAGATGTGAATTTATTTTCCTTTAGTGTAAAAGTAATTGAAAAGTAAAACGTACTGTACGAGGTAGTAAAAGCCGCCTTCGTCCATAATTTCAGAAGATATGATTATAAACACGTAGTTCCAGAGTCACTGCACTAGACTGCGGCCGGATTGAGCCAGATCTAAGAACTGAATATCGATCTTGCATGCACAAACAGGTGACTACAAATGCGTGAGTAGAGTAGAGGCACCAGATCATCGGTCATTGCCCCCCGAGCCTCACCTATTTAGGTTGCAGCAGTGACCACCTGTCTAGTGCACCAGAACGGTGCCCGGGTGAGCGGTCCGTTGTCGATAACCGCCTCTGGTCAAGCGCGCCAGGTTAGGATTTTTCGCTTGGTCAAGTGGAGCGGGTTAGGCTTTGCCACCCGTAAGGTCAAGTGCAACGGGTTAAGCTTTGCCACCCGTAAGGTCAAGTGCAACGGGTTAAGCTTTGCCACCCGTAAGGTCAAGTGCAACGGGTTAAGCTTTGCACCCGTAAGATCAAGTGCAACGGGTTAAGCTTTGCACCCGTAAGGTCAAGTTCAACGGGTTAAGCTTTGCCGCCCCTCCGGTCAAGCACGTCCTGTTAAGCTTCGTCGCTCCTCCTGCCATGATTTTTTCGAAAGGTATAGAGGCTTCGTAGATAATTCATGAACCCTGGGTCTGGTTAGCACGTTTCCGCCGGTAGATACCCATTAAGCAATTATAGGTGAATTGACTTAAGAATATTCATTATGTATTCTATACATTACAAGAAATATTTTAACAATAATTTAAATTGAATCTATCTTATATCCATGATAGAACACTTGGACCAAAGTACCGGATAAAATAAGACATTGGACCATTGGATTGTTTCACGCATTAAGTTAGATCTATGTATGTATATATATATATATATATATATATATATATATATATATATATATATATATATATATATATATATATATATATTTTGTGTGAAAACTTTTTTTTTTTTTTTGTTTAAAGAACTTGTCTCGCAGGTTCAACATGAGTGGGACCTGGTGTGTGGGGAGGACGGTGTGGGTGCTGGCGGCGGTGGTGAGCATGGCCGCCGCCGCCCCTCCGACACCTTCCACGCCCACCACGTCACCAACAGCGGCGCCACCACCGCCGTCGACCACGTCACCAACAGCGGCGCCACCACCGACGTCACCACCACCACCACCACCGCCGTCGACCACGTCACCAACAGCGGCGCCACCACCGACGTCACCACCACCACCACCGCCGTCGACCACGTCACCAACAGCGGCGCCACCACCGACGTCACCACCACCACCGCCGTCGACCACGTCACCAACAGCGGCGCCACCACCGACGTCGCCGCCGCCACCACCGACGTCGCCGCCGCCACCACTGACGTCGCCGCCGCCACCAGCAACAGAAGGGCCGCCACACATCATCATCATGGTGGCGGACGACCTCGGTGAGTTGGATACACGAAGCTCATATCATCCAGCAATATGATATAAAGTCAAGTATTGTCTGTATTTAACAGAGTTTATTATTTATTTGTCACGCTTGCTTACGCCAGTATTAAGTTCACCTGCAGTTGGTGTGACCTCTCTGCTATCTGGCCTGAGCTACCTGTGACCTAATGTGACCCTTTAATCTAGTGTGACCTATCTATCCCTATCTATGGACTCTTCTAGGAATAGACATGATTTACAGTTGACCTTTCTAAGACCTGATGTGACTTATTGTCATATAGCTTTTATCTGGTGTGAACTGAGTGACCAAATATGACCTGTTGTTACCTACCAGTTACGTATGTGTGACCTACCTGAGGTAAATTGCTTGTAACCTACCTGTGTTTGTGTAGCCTTGTGAAACATACAAATGACCTACCTGTGACCTGACATGTAACCTGGTGTGACCCTGTGTCCTGGTATGACCTGACATATGACCCTGTGACCTGGTATGACCTGACATGTGACCCTGTGTCCTGGTATGACCTGATATGTGACCCTGTGACCTAGTATGACCTGGCGTGTTCTCCGGCAGGGTATAACGACGTGTCATGGCACAACAGTCAGGTGTTGACGCCACACCTGGAAGCCCTGGCACGCGGCGGCATCATCCTGGAGCAGTCATATGTGCAGCCCATCTGCACCCCCACCCGCTCCGCCCTCCTCTCCTCCCGCTACCCCTTCACCATCGGTAGACAGGTGGGTCTCCAGGCCTCTGTCTCCTTTCCCAGTATATCGACACAGATAAACCCATTGACTATTGAGTATAGACTGGAATATACATTTATTAAAATATACCAAAGATTGATATATACTGTATGACATCCATAAACTCTTCTCTTCTCAGCACAGGGTCCTGAAGGCCTCTGAGCCCGTGGGTCTGGACCTGGAGCTGAAGCTCCTCCCGCAGGCGCTGAAGGACTCTGGCTACCAAACTCACGCCGTCGGCAAGTGAGTTTTTCAAAGTGGGTTTTTCTGCACCATAGTGTCTTGTCTCCTTCTAAGTGTTGGTGTTAATTCCTATAGAGGCTTTCAAGTACCCTTTGAAGGACGTTATATCTTTCATTCTTGCGTAATATATAATTCATTTACGATGCAGTTAGTCCCATCTTGAGACGTCTCTCTAGTGACTCGTGTCTCCCTTCCTGGTCTATACTTCTCTTCGTTTGGATTATTTTTAACACAGTTGTGGTACAGGAATAGACGACTTCTGACTCTTGTTAGCAGGCTGAGAGCTTTCTCTTCCCATAGCTCATGGTAAGTCTTACCCTGCTAGTTTTCCCTGGCACACCAACCGACTGTCGGTTATCACCCAGGTATTGAATTACTACTGGATGAACAGAGGCGAACAGTTAAACAATGGGGTCTAGTCCTCACTCACCAGGCTTTGTATCCGGACTAGATCACTCACGAGGCAGCCCGTCCGACTCAACAAAAGGCAAATTATCATTAACCAAGCCAGAATTCGGCTAAAAAATAACGCTCAAGAGTCATATTTCCGATATTCATTACTCACACGTACCCACATGAAGCACACGTACTCTCGTGCAACGTTATAATAACTTTATCCTGATATCTGTGAGACACCAGCAGACATCTGGACACCAGAAGACAAACAATTTCACTGTTATTCCCCTGGCAGGTGGCACTCCTAGACACTTTTCCCACCTTGCCTCGACAGATGGCACCTCGGGTTCTGCTCGTGGGACTACACCCCCACCAGGAGGGGCTTCGACACCTTCTACGGCTACTACAATGGTGCTGAGGACTATTTCACTCACCGGCGGTCCCAGCGCTTCGACGCCAGGATGGACTCGTACTACGACCTCGACGCTGATGATTGCTTCGACCTCCAAGATACCTACGAAGGAGAGGAGAAGGGGAGACGAGGTAACAGGGATAAAGAGAAGGGAAATAATAAGAGGGAGAAGGAATGAAGGAAGATAAAGGGGAGGGGAATGCACTCGTGAGGCAGATTGAGTAGCCTCACCTTAGGAGGACGAGGGAATCACACTAACATCACTTGGAAGATGGGTGGCTGATACTCCACTGTTATAATTGTGCGATCAGAGACATGTCGTTGTTACTGCCCTTCACAGGCCCAAATACAATGATTATACTTCACAATACCCAAATATAATACACCTCATACCCGTTGTGTCTCGCTGAACATGTGTAAATTCGCCGAGATATGATGCCCTAGAATTCATTACACAGGACTAACTAACCCGACAGGAATGGTTTTATCCAGGGTAGATGCGTATGGAAGGGCGTTATAACCTCACTTAAAATATACAGTATCCAGCAGAGCCATTGTCTATTAGTGATATGCGTCAAACAAGTGTCATGCGTCAAGCAAGTGACACGCGTCAAGCAAGTGACAAGTGTCATGCGTCAAGCAAGTGCTGTTGTTACCTTAGTTTACTGTAAAGTCCTAATGTCCCCATACAACCCGGTCCCCAATTTGTTCTGATGCTGAGTCAAATTACAGTTGAAAATTTTAAGGTCTATATCTAGTTGATCTTGAGAGACCAGGGTAGTAAGGCCAAGATATAAACTAGAAAATATAATAACAAAACAATTGATTACATAACTACTCTGGCGAATTTACACAAACTTCACAAAACTGTGCTAGTTATTTCCCTTCCTGGTGTAGCAGGACAATATCGAGATTTTGCTTTAAGAACATACAGTAAATTTTTGTGCAAGGACCCGTCAATCTACGCCAAGTACTGAATTCTCTAATATTGTTTTATAAATTATGCCCAAAGATCTATGTAATCCTTCAGCATAATCATTCACTAAGAACTGTTGAGATCTTTTTATTTTTACTTTATATTTGAAGGGAGAGGGAGGGAGGAGAGGGACACAGACACAGATACAGATAAGAGACAGACAGACACTAACAGTCCCCTTCCCTCCCCCAGGTTACAGACATAACTGGCTGGACCTGAGGTACAACACCACCCCAGACACCAGCAAGGAAGGAGTCTACTCTACGGTAACTATTACATTTTAGCTCTTATAAACCCCACAATTAAACACTTGTCAAGTAATTGAATATAACTAAAATTCCAACCGTCGCGGTAAATACTTTGCCGAGCATTTCTTCCTGACTTTGTTACGTACTCCTAGCAGAATACGTATATAAATTTAAAATAAATATTATTTTATTTTATCATTGCATGTATATGTACACACATTGTGTTTTGGGTAAATTGTCGTGTGGTTTGGCAGCGTCAGTGGATAAGAGCGCGGTTGTCTCTGCACACGTCTATTACTTGATTGATACTCTATTACTTGATTGATACGGGAAAGCTGGACCTGTTCAGTTTGAGAGTTCCAGATGTCACTTTTATTTAGTTAGAAATTGTTTCATATATTGTAATTAAACAGGTGTCATTATACTTATATATTTTGTAAGCAACTATTATATGTAAATTACATTCTTATGTGTTTTGAGAACAAGTGGTTGTTCAATTAGTTTAAAATATTAAAAAGTCCTTAGTTTCCATCCCTCATCCTGGGATGAGGCAGACGGGAGGTGAGAATGTGGGTGGCGACAGAGCGAGAGTTCAGTAGCTGGACGGGAGCCCGGGAGATAACACTTGTTGGAGTTAAGTCATTCTTTTATTCTAGCCATATAATTATTCTTAGTATTGATTTAATGTCTGGAAGTTACAGTGATATTTTTAATGTGATATATATTGTGACCATATAATCATCTGTTTGCCTTTGAGATTTATTTAATATAAATTATATACATATGCTTAGTCTTTATTCTTCAGTCCTATGAAGATTCTATTTTATTGCTCATTACCCATTAAGGGGTTATACTGGTGATTCGCTATTGAGAACAGCAGTTGTGTCGTATCCCTAGACTTATTAAAGTTGGCTGCTGTAGGATCACGAGCCTTAACGTACGATAGGTAACAAAGAGTTATGGGGGCCTGTGCCGGGAGATATTGTCCCATTTTAACTTTACTATGCTAATCTAACCTTGCCTTCCTAGGTACCAGTGTGTCAAGTGTCTCTGTGTGTTTCTTAAGAACTATTCCATGTGCCAAGCAAGCCTTCCTGTGTGTCAAGTAACAACGTTTCACGATTTTGAGGTAAGTCATCCTATATATTTTGTTTGTGCAGTGAGGCCAAGCGAATTTTCAGTGTGGTGACAATTTTACAGTGAAGTGTAGTGCAGTGCCATTGTGTTAATTATTTTTGTGAATCAAGTGCCAAGTGTTAGTAACGATGGAGGAGAAAGTTGCAGCGTTGGTGGCTCACCCAGACTTTGAAGGGATTCAGAACCTTAAAAAGACTGAGTTAATACAAATGGCAAATCATTTGGATTTGACCGCCAGCAATAGAATGGTTAAAGCCCAAATATTGAAAGTCATTGTGACGCATTTTGTTGAGAATGGGGAGTTAGGTGAAGAAATTCTAGAGGAGTTAAGAGAGGAGTCGAGTGATCAGATGACGTTAAAGCGTCTTGAGTTAGAAGCTCGCCAATTAGAGCTTGAAGCTCAAAAAGAACAGAAAATATTAGAGGCTGAAGCTCGTCAAAGAGAGATTGAAGCTCAACAGCAACAGCAAATATTAGAGGCTGAAGCTCAGCAGAGGGAGCTTGAGACTAGGCGTTTAGAAATTGCGGCACAAAACCAGAGATGTTTAATTGAGTTGCAACTTGAAGCCACAAAGAAGCAACAAGCCGAGGAACAAACTAGGCAATTAGAGATTCAACAACAAATGGCTGACACTAACTTAAGGCTTGAAACACAGCGTATGGCAGCTGGGCATGGAAATACTAGTAATGTTTCAACAAATAGTAATAATAATCCCATCAGGATGAATAAGTATATCGAGTTGCCCAAGTTCAATGAGGAAGATCCTGAGGTTTTCTTTGCACATTTTAATAAAATTGCCATCAGTATGAACTGGCCAAGGGATCAGTGGGTAGCCATTATGCAGTCTCAATTCAAGGGACGTAGTCAGGAGGTTTTCACATCCTTACCTGACGCTCATAGTTTTGATTATGACTTTGTAAAGAAAAGCATCCTCAATGCATACCAACTAAATCCAGAGGCACACAGGCAAAAGTTCAGGAACCTAAGGAGAATCAAGGATCAAACAATAGCAGATTTTACTCGTCAGAAGACGAATTTTTGCAACAGATGGTTAAAGTCACTTGCAGTCACTGATTTTGATGCTCTAAAGAATCTTCTCATAATGGAAGAAGTATTGTCCTGTCTTCCAGACCAGTTGTCTACTTTTATGGCAGAACAAAAGAATGTAACAGACATTGATGAGCTGTCAAAGCTCGCGGATGAGCATGAGTTGCTGACTAAGGCCCCGTTTACGGCCACTTCACCTAAGTCTAGTCGTAGAGTAAATTATAATGCTCACCGAACTCCTTATCAGAATCCATCCAGTCCTAGTACTCCAGTTACTCCCATGAGCTCTTCTCTTACAAAACCTAATCCTGCTACTTCATTGTCAGGAATGTCAAATAATAATAAGGTTATTTCTAAACCTACAGTTGGTTCTACCAGTGTGTCCACTGTAAGGTCCTGTTCCCATTGTAAGAGAAAAGGCCATGGAATTCATTCATGTTTTATATTGCACCCTGAGTTACGACCAACTGGTCTCATTTATTGCAGAGGTGTGCAAAATAAACTTACTAATAAACATGTAACTGTAAACCCCAATTGGGTGAAACAGTATTCACCATATATGTCTTCAGGTGAAGTTTTGTGTATTAATGGGAAGTGGAAGCCAGTGGTTATTCTTCGTGATACAGGTGCTTCCCAAACCATAATTTCATCCAGTATTCTTTCTGATGTTGAAAAGAGAGAGACAGGAAAGTTTGTTGTTCTTCAGAGTGTTGCAGGATGTAAAACTGTACCTCTAATAGACATTAATTTCAGATCCACCATTACACCACGTTTATGCACTGTGGGTGTTAGTACACAGTTGCCCATCCCAGGTGTGGATGTTATATTGGGTAATGATGTGGCCATAAATCATGTTGTGGGTGAGAATGATCCCCGTTTGTGTAAACAGCCCGTTGCAGACCATGTTTATTCTGCCTGTGCTGAAGTTAGTTCTATGAATGAACCTGTTGTAGAAGATGGTTTTGTCCATTCTACCTGTGCTGATGTCAGTACTAATATAAATCCAGTTGTCAGTTCTGATGTTGTTACTCAAGCATTTGTTCCAGTAACCAGTACCCCTTCAGTGGAGAAGTGGGATGTGGTTGTTCCAGATTCCTGTGTGGCCGATTTAGTTGTTGAGAGTAAGCCTGATACTATGACTCTGCTTTATTCCAATAAATTGGGAAAGGATGTCCATGTACCATTGTCTTGCCCGCTCACTACGAACGTTGTGCCAGGAATTGAGAGAAACTTAAAAGCCACGACTCTGTATTCTAGCCAAGTGAATGGTTTAGGACAAGATGTCGGGTTGGCAGAAGTATTCCCGCTCACTCCAAGTTTAGAATCAGTTGTCGAGAGTAAGTCCGTTGTAGAGGCCCCGCCTCACCCTAGTCAAGGTGATATAATAGGGGAGGAGGTCAAACTACCTGTTACTTGCCCGCTCGCTTCAGATTCCCTTCATTTATGTGTTTTGAGTAGAACTGACCCTAAGATTTCAGAGAGAAGCAAGGAGACAGTCTGTACTGTAGATCCAGTTTTGGAGAGTGTGGGAAAGCAGCCAGAGGATCAGCTTCTGTTGAGTAGATGGAGACCCATTGAGCCTCCCTCTTCAGTTGTCTGTGAGGATGTGACCCAGCTTGGTAGTGATATTGTTGATTGTGAGCAGACAGTACTCCAAGCAGCTCCAGAAGTCATGGGAGGAAATTTTGGTAAAATCATTAAGAGTGGTAAAGCAGCAATTGGATCTAAGTTGAGGAGTTGTGATTCTTATTCTATGTGGAGGAAGTATTTCTCATTGTGTACATTGAGTCAGAGTGTGTGTAGGATGTTGAACTCTACTTTTATTCTGCAGCCATTTTCTTGTGAAGTAATGGACTGTGGGACATCTTTGTTAAGCCTTGTGGTTGAGCAGAGAGAGTTTACTCAAGTAGGTTGTGCATCCAGTTCTGAGGAAGTGGTGAGTTATGCTAGAGCAGTGTCTCTATATTCAGATCCAGTTAATTTTGATGCACGAGTGATAAAAGTGTATGTTCCACTCAAGTGTGGGGTTGACTTTCAGAGTCATATTGTGGGTGAAGGATTAAATCATACTGGGGAGCAGATGTTTGAGGCTCCAGGTGTGAAATTCAAGTTGGAGGATAAGGTTATCCTACCTAGTGTTAATCATTGTGAAGGGTTTCAGATTGTCCTTGGGCGTTTTCCAGGTAATCTGCTGTTCATCTTCAAGATGTTAAGACCCTTAAACCTCTTGGTTGATTGGTTGTCATCAGACGTAAATCACTTGGGAAGTGATGGTGAAGGTTGTAAAGTTTTCGGCATGTTTTATTTAGTCTCTTTGAAGACTAGACGGTTGATGAACGTGTGTGTTGTGTTCAAGTTCACCATCAGAGGGTGTGAACTTGTCTTGAGAGTTATGATTGAGATATGGTGCCTAGGCATATACCTGTTTTCTTTCACTGATCGTTATGACAGAGTTATGAGGCAATTGATTTCTGTGTTCCTTATGGATCATCTGAGTCAGTTCGATCAGGTAGTCTTTGCACTTGTCTTGGGTTGTATTTCTTGGTTGGAAGGTCAAAGGTTTGATAAGTCGGTGTCTTGTGTTTCGGAAGGTTCTATGAATGGGAAAGTCTTATGCATAATTGTGAGGTTTAATGCTAATTTTTCTAATTTTAGTATCCATTGGGCGAGAGTATGTGTTCCACAGAGGATCAAGAGTGATGAGCAGATGTCTGTGTCAGAGCATACCCAGGAGAAGTCCCAACTCAACTCAACATACAGCCTGCTTCAATTAAGCAGTTCAGCTCCAGAAAAAGGGAGTAATGGAAAATCAAGGCTGTCTTGGGAAAATTCACCATGTGGAAAAGGAATCACATGGAAAAATGAAACTGATCTTGAAGAAATAGTAGAAACATATGAAAAGCAAAATTGCCATGATAACTGTGTGAAAGCAGCTACCTTTATTGACAATTCTATCCATGCTACTAATGATACTGTTGTAGATAGGTGTGTGAAATATGATCTAAAACAAAGTGAAATAAATGAGATAGTACCTTGGAGAGATAAATTTGCATACTCCAGTGACACATATGTAGAACATAGTCATAAGACTGGAATTTCTGAGTTTCCTGTAAGACTATATTTGGAGTGTTTTCATTTTTGTCCAGAAATGTGTTCTTATTACTTATACATGTTTGGTGTAATTAATACCATAAATCTCAAGTGTCATACATTTTACTTTGAAAAAATGCCATTGATCTTCAATCTATTGCATTTTTTTTCTTGGAGGTGGAAGTGTTACGTACTCCTAGCAGAATACGTATATAAATTTAAAATAAATATTATTTTATTTTATCATTGCATGTATATGTACACACATTGTGTTTTGGGTAAATTGTCGTGTGGTTTGGCAGCGTCAGTGGATAAGAGCGCGGTTGTCTCTGCACACGTCTATTACTTGATTGATACTCTATTACTTGATTGATACGGGAAAGCTGGACCTGTTCAGTTTGAGAGTTCCAGATGTCACTTTTATTTAGTTAGAAATTGTTTCATATATTGTAATTAAACAGGTGTCATTATACTTATATATTTTGTAAGCAACTATTATATGTAAATTACATTCTTATGTGTTTTGAGAACAAGTGGTTGTTCAATTAGTTTAAAATATTAAAAAGTCCTTAGTTTCCATCCCTCATCCTGGGATGAGGCAGACGGGAGGTGAGAATGTGGGTGGCGACAGAGCGAGAGTTCAGTAGCTGGACGGGAGCCCGGGAGATAACACTTGTTGGAGTTAAGTCATTCTTTTATTCTAGCCATATAATTATTCTTAGTATTGATTTAATGTCTGGAAGTTACAGTGATATTTTTAATGTGATATATATTGTGACCATATAATCATCTGTTTGCCTTTGAGATTTATTTAATATAAATTATATACATATGCTTAGTCTTTATTCTTCAGTCCTATGAAGATTCTATTTTATTGCTCATTACCCATTAAGGGGTTATACTGGTGATTCGCTATTGAGAACAGCAGTTGTGTCGTATCCCTAGACTTATTAAAGTTGGCTGCTGTAGGATCACGAGCCTTAACGTACGATAGGTAACAGACTTGAAGTAATGAGATTTACGGTTTCACTCGTTATTTATGAGTGAAACCGTATTGTTGATTTACTGTATCAACATGTCAGCTTGGTCATGTTGTTATGTGTTGAGACGTTATACCTTGTGTCACTGTTTATGTTCCGTGCTAACCTGTCGTTAGTGCTTGCGGGGGTTGAGCTCTGGCTCTTTGGTCCCGCCTCTTTGTGTGTGTCTACCACCAACAACCTCCCACCTACCTCCCTACCACCACCACCACCAACAACCCCACCCACCAACTTCCCTACCACCACCACCAACCATCCCTCCCTCCTACCTCCCTACCACCACCAACAACAACCAACCACCCACCTACCTTCCTGCCCCCACCACCACCCCTCCCACCTACCTCCCTACCACCACCACCCCTCCCACCTACTTCCCTACCACCACCAACAACCGCCACCCACCTAGCTAGCTGTTTACATCCCTGCCACAGCACATGTTCGCATCACACGTGGAGGACCTGCTGAGGACGAGGAGCGCTGAGGACCCCATGTTTCTATACCTGGCCTTCCAGAGCGTCCACGCTCCTCTACAGGTGCCAGACAACTACACACGCCCCTACGCCCACATCCACGACCACGATCGTCGCACCTTCCTCGGTAAATGACACGTAGTTGCATCATTCATCCTCCTTCCTTCCTCTTCCTTCTTCCTCACCACAACAGCAGTATATTTGAATTCCTCATATGCAGCGAATTTCTAATTTCCATTTAATTTCGACCAATCACAAACTAATAATTTTCGATGTGTGTGTGGGGGGAAGGGGGGATCTATCAAGGGAAAGCGCCAAGCCATTATGACTTCATATAACACTTTCAAGGGTCAGGATAAGGATTTGGGATGGGACGGGGGAAAAGGAATGGTGCCCAACCATTTGTGGACGGTTGGGGATTGAACGCCGACCTGCATGAAGCGAGACCGTCGCTCTATCGTCCACCCCAAGTGAGTTAATGTGAGAGACGGAGTGTAAAAAAAGGATACAAATCTATTGAGTTGGTTATACGGGTTAAGAGGCCCGTGCCACCTCTTGGGTGGCTTAACCTTCACCAATCAATCAATCTATTGAGTTTACTGTGTGTGGCAGGTATGGTGAGTGCCATGGACGAGGCAGTAGGGCGGGTGGTGGCGGCACTGAGGGCCACGGGGCACTACCACAACTCCATCATCGTCTTCACCACCGATGTCAGTGTTAAGTAATAGTTCATACTGTCCTGATTTGCATCTTAAATTTATGAATAATATAAAATCTCTCACATTAACATTGAAGATTATACATGAAACTTAACACTAAGAATTCTCCCCGTGTTTGTACTTTCATGAAATTTTTTACTGGTGAATGTTTAACGAATTAGAGAAACTATTTACGAGAAAAACGTCGTAAGATTAATGCATTTTTAAAAGTTAACAAAAAAAATGCTGAATCATTAAACAAGTAGAGTTTTTTAAAGAAAATAAAAAAATCTTGAAACACAAATGCAGGGAAATTTTAGTTAAATTGATCAGCCATCAATGGCTAATATCCATCAATAAAAACTATTTATTTTATTTACGCTGTGTGGGAATAACATCCCTGGATGTTTAAATATTCTACACTGTGCGTATAACACGAACTAACACAAGGTTCAATGTTGCAGAACGGTGGCCCGACCAGACACAGTGCCAACAACTGGCCACTGCGGGGCCATAAGGCCACACTGTGGGAGGGTGGCACCCGGGGCGTGGCCTTTCTGCACTCCCCACTTCTGCCCAACCCTGGCACCGTCTCTCACCAGTCAGTAACTCCTCCACTTGTTACCCCCTGGCAGTCACCAGTTAATAACTCCTTCACTCACTACCAGTATAGTCAGTAGAAATAGATTCTAATCCTATATACCTACGAGAATGCCATTTAATCGATCATTATTAACCTCTAGGACGATTACGAAAACCTCTTACGAAACCTATATATCTTCCCTTAATCATGGCGTCTTTGTTTACATTTATTAAACAGTTTACGAGATGCGAAACTTCACAATCCATGGCTGTCAATGTTATTAACAACCTCGTAGTACTTCATTGTTTATAACTGTTTAACCAATGATAACAAAGCCACTATGATTGAGGAAAAATGTACAGGTTTTGCAAGAGGCTGTGTAAGTCTTTAAGGCTACGGGTGGCACATGAAACTATATAAATCTTTCCCCATTTGCTTGGATACGGCCAAGTATTTCTAGTCAGCCAGAGGCTTAGGACCCGTACCGGGATGTCCCTGCGTAAGAAATACATATACATTACATAGACTATAGACAAAAGACACAGGCATACACTATAGACTAAAAGAGAGGCGCATAGACTATAGACAATAGATAAAAGACGCAGACATGGGCCACAGACAAAAAATCCAGACAGACAATGAACACAGACATAGATTTAGGCAAATGATACATAGACAAAAGATAATTTTTGTTTAAATAATTACTGGCTCATGGTATTACACGTGTACATAGCCAGATAATCCTTAGTGCCAATATTAGTCAAAATTATCTCCGATTACCGGGAAAACCGTTTATTTGAGCATATTTTATCACTGCAACGGAATCCTTCCATTAGGCTAGGTTTGTTCAACTTGACCAGATATTATTACTGCTTTGACCACTCGCCCTTATGTTATTTCCAATTCTGGTTCTTACCACCGTGACGTGGGATGACTTGATGCGTGGACAGGTTGATACACGTCACGGACTGGTACAGGACGCTGGTGGGCGTGGCTGGGGGCGTGACACCACCTGACACGGACGGCGTGGACCAATGGGCGTCGCTGACTGGCTCCGCCCCGCCGCCCAGGACACATATGGTGTACAACATCAACAACACCACCAGCTTTCGGGCTGGGGTCAGGTGAGAGATGAGGTAACATTTGATTTTCAACCTGTTATATTAACATAATGAAACAAATTAAAACCAAAATAATGTTATATACTTCCTGGGTGCTCCTGGTGCAGGAAGGGAATGTTGAAGCTGCTGGTGGGGAACCCTGGCAAAGGTCCATGGATAGTGCCACCGGAACACCCACTCATCTCCGCCGGCGTCGCAGTCGACGGACTCTCCCTAAACTCCGACAGGCCAGACTACTTCACTTCACAGCCTAACCAAGTCTTTGTCGACTTACTCAACACAACCAGCACTCCGGAAGTCGAAATATTTACCACGGACTCACTCACTACAGACGTCGACTCATTAAATACCAACCTCGACTCATTAACTACTGAAGTTTATTCAGTGACCAAGGACGTCGACTCACTAACAACAGATGCAGGCTCATTAAGTGAGAACAGCTACTCTTTAACCACAGACTTCCATTCATTAACTACAGACTTCCACTCATTAACCACAGACGCCGACTCAACCACGGTTGTCGACTCAACCAGTTTCGTCGATTCCTTGACAGACTACGACTCTCTAACCACAGACTTCGATGTCTCCATTTCATCAGAGGGAGAGAGCGGTGGCTCAGTCTTCGATATAGCCAATATCTCAAACATGGACGTCGATGTCGGCGTAGTTCGCCGTCCTTCGGTTCCTTTACCCCAGAAGAATGAAAGTGAAGACGCCCAGAGGATGCAATGTGTGGAGGACGCTCAAGAAGAGGCTGGAACTAGGACTGCAATTGACACTGTGTGGGCGTCAGAACTGGGGACGACCATTCAGCAGCTGTCGCAGAGAGCCACTAACGAGAACGACATCCAGATCAGTCTTTATAACATCGAAGGTACGTGAACGACTCATTAGCATAACCCATCTTCCTCATCAACAACTAACGTCTTGATAGTCCACTTGACATAACATTTGTATATAAAATAATTATTTCTGAAGATATAGTGCAACAAATCATTTGTTACTATATGTTATATGATACATTCACTTAGCTTCCACCATATCAATCATTCTCACGTGTGTAACCCAAATATAGCGACGTGTGGTTGGAAGAGCGAAGAGGCTAGTGTAGTGACTATTTTATCTCTTGGCTAAAATATGAAAGTATAGATAACTAAATATATAGTTAGCTATCCTAACACTCAAGGTGTTAAGGGGTTCGATTTTCATCATGGTGGGAGGGGGCAAGGATAGAGAAACTCGTATCTGTATATGAGATCCCAATTCCAGATTCTTCCAGCATCCTGAAGGATCTTACTCCAGGAGTTATAAGGAATCTGGAAAATTTACACCTCCCCAAAGTGTACAGTTCTGTACACACTCCCTCCTGGAGTGAGAGCTCATTGATGATTAGTTTTTACGCGTTGCCAATTTTATTCATTGATTAGGTACACACGAACCTGATAGTCAGCCTGTCTTGGGATCAAGAACGTAAGCTTTTGTGATCACTCGTTGTCAATGGCACCAGCTTACCTTGAGGTTTAACTTACATTGGATCTCAGGATTAATGTATCTGTGCTCGATCTTTGACCATCTGGGACGGTCTGATTAGCCAGGCTGTTAGACGCTGCTGGACTAAGTTTGACGTATAAATCACAGCCCGTTTGATCAATATAGCTTGCTGGTAACTAGGTGAGATAAGCTATTGGTAAACACATACTATATGAAAATATTAAACAATGACAACTACATGCTATCTGTTTACTCGATCCATTGTTTTATGTTTTCCACAGCATGTAAACACCGTTTGTAGGAAGCACATGTACAATAATTACTATGTCAAAGTAACTTTATTTGTCTCTGATGGAAAACTTTCGTTTAGCAGATATAAGTGAGTGTTACCTTAGGTAGTTTAGCAGGTATAGCTGCTTGTCACCTTGCTCTCCAGGTAGTTTAAGAGCTATTGATGATTGTGCATTTCCCTACAAGTAGCTTAGGTAATTAAGTAATTGTTACCTTGTCTTCCAGGTAGTTTATCAGGTGTAAATGAGTGTTACCTTGCCCTCCAGGTAGTTTATCAGGTGTAAATGAGTGGCAACTTGCCCTCCAGGTAGTTTACCAGGTGTAAATGAGTGATACCTTGCCCTCCAGGTAGTTTATCAGGTGTAAATGAGTGGCAACTTGCCCTCCAGGTAGTTTATCAGGTGTAAATGAGTGATACCTTGCCCTCCAGGTAGTTTATCAGGTGTAAATGAGTGGCAACTTGCCCTCCAGGTAGTTTAGTAGTCATAGGTGATTGGCACCTTGCCCTTCAGAGTCCAGATATTATATACCTCGGTGTCGGTAACTCAACATATTGTTCACCCTGTTCCGGAGAAGAATTTTTATCATTAAACTTCATAGTTTAGTTGATACCTATATAACCTGAATGTTACCAATGCATCTTGCCTCCTTCCCATCCCAGAGGACCCGGAGGAGCGGGTCAACCTAGCCTCGGAGCAGGTGGAGGTGGTGGAGGAGCTGCTTGAGTACCTCCTGGAGGAACAACGGCGATACGTCCCCGCAGACATCAAGCCTCAAGTGCCGGAGGCCAACCCTGCGAACTTTGGTGGTGTCTGGTCACCGGGATGGTGCTAGTGGGCTCCGGACGACACTAGTCGCCCACCAGAAGGCTACTAGGATGATACTAATAGCCTCCAGAATGAGTCTAGTGGCCACATGAAGGTGTCGGCAGCTACTAGGATGATACTAGTAGGCAGCAGGATGGTTATAGTTGGCCAGGCGGGTGCCGATGTCTCCTAGGGGTGATACTAGTAGCCCCGAGTATGGTTCTAACGGCCCCAAGAGGGTGCTAGTGTCCCCTACGATGACACTTGTAGCCTCCAGGGGCCAAATTCACGAAAGCACTTACGCAAGCACTTACGAACGTGCACAGCTTTCCTCAATCTTTGACGGCTTTGGTTACATTTATTGAACAGTTTACAAGCATGAAAACTTCCCATTCAACTGTTGTTATTGTTATAAACAGCCTCCTGGTGCTTCGGAGCTCATTAACTGTTTAATAATTGGAAACAAAGACGCCAAATATTGAGAAAAGATGTACAGGTTCGTAAGTGTTTGCGTAACTACTTCGTGAATCTGGCCCCAGGATGGTTACAGCGGCCACGGGAGGGTGATGATGATCTCCAAGGTGAAGATAGTGGCTTCTTGGGTAGGGTTAGTAATCCATAGGAAATATGCTAGTGATCCCCAAGGACAGTGCTGGTTGCCTTCACCAAGCTGTCAAAGACTACACAAGGACCTTATTGTTTCTTATATATTTATCTACACTTTCTCGATTTTCGACATATGTTTACTTTAGCAAAATATATTCAGAGCGAACATTTAATAAGACATCGTTATACAGTATTTTGCATGAATCAAATCAATAATTGAACTGGACTATGTGAAATGTATTTAGAAAAAAAAATAATTTATAAAAATGATTTCAGTGGACTAGTTACAATTAAAGAAAATCTAATTGGTTCTGTAATGATTTAAATGCAACTAATGGTTAAATTCCAGTTTTTAATACAAATAATGAAATAACAATGACAATATAATGCACTTAGGGCCCGCGCAGGAATATCCCTGAAAAATATATATATATATATATATATATATATATATATATATATATATTGTGACGGTAACGCGTTGGTGTTCGGCTGTTTAAGGCTAGGGGTATGGCCTCGTCACATAGTTATAAAAAAAAATAGAAAAACTGGAACTTCGTCTGTGGTATGGTAAGGAGAAGACACACAAAACACAAGTAAACTTTAACAATGAAATTTTAATTACGTTAAATAAATCAAAACATGAAAATATGGACAAACAAATATGTATAATAAAATCAATGAATCAAAATAATAAGAATACTTAAATGACACAATGAAAGTTACGTTAAGGCAAAATAATAAGAAGTGCAACACAAAAGTTAAGTGGGAGGTGCTGGAATATTGGCTTAAAGCCACCACCTCTCTCAGTACACTCTAGAGTCTAGCTGGGAGGAGTGCTGGCTACGAAAGCACGGAACATTCTGAGGACTGATGTTGGGGCGACCCCAGACATCAGGTAGTATTGGGGGCGAGTGCAGGTGCAGCCAGACCGGCGACCAATCAGCGGAGCCGTAGCGATCAACGGGTAGTTTGGTGGTTGGAGTTCGAACAGGTGGCTGGTTGCATACGTTTCTGCTCACCCTGGCAAGCCTTGCTGGTGCTGGTGTTGTTGTCGTTGTTGGACATTTCTTCCATAGTCTTTTTATATAATTGTGAAGACGTAATTTTGGAGGGAAGAGCAGGCTCAATCTCTTGAAGGAGATTATCGTCACAACTCTCCCCCGAAGCCTGCGGTTCTGGAAGAAGTACGTCGTTATGTGGTGGAGTAATGGATGGAGTCGCTTCTACTTCATAAACTCTGGAGAGGGCATCGGCTATGGTGTTGTCAGACTCTTGGTATAGCGTGTCTCCAGGTTGAATTTCTGCAGGTAGCAAGCCCATAGTAGAAGACGTTGAGATGAGAAGTGGGCGTGCTGCAGGAGGTGTAGGGTGGTGTGGTCCGTATTGATGGTGGACCGAGCACTTTTCAGGTGTGGAGTGAAGTGCTGAAGCTTCAGGATGAGGAAGAGTAGCTCCTTGCCAATTGTTCCGTCGTTCCTTGTAGCAGTAGTCGCTGACAGGTGTATTCTTCTCGCCTCGTTGCTGCATCACGACACCACCATCGTCGGTACCATTGGCGTCGACATGGAGGATGTAGGGCTTATCTGACGAGGTGAGAGTGGAATTAGAAGAGGGCATAGGAGCACGAGTATTATCCTGAAAGCATTTGGGAAGATCATTAAGGATTTTGGAATTAGAAAGCGCCGACTCCTTGTCAGTGCTTTCGGGAGAAGAAGCCGGGATGGTCTCACTGTGGATGTAGGGTTCTGTGAAGGTAGAACAATTAATCAAGACAGTGGGAGGAGTACCATTATATTGCTTCAGGAGGTTGACGTGGCACAGCTGGGTCTTCCGCCGCCTATCTGGAGTCTCTATGACGTATGTGTTGTTGCTTCTGCACTCTTTGACGCAGTAGGGTCCTGAAAATCTGTTTTGTAAAGGTGAACCTGGGATAGGGAAATAAGCAAGGACGAAGTCTCCCGGCTTGAATTTTCTTACTTTGCTGGTCTGGTCGTAATGAGTCTTCATTCTCACCTGGGCTTTCAATAGATTATCATGGGCAAAGCGGTGGACTCTCTCTAGAATGTGCTGAAGGTTTTGAAGAAACTGGGGCACATTCTGATGCTCACTGAAGGTGGCATCTCTGAGAGAGTCTTTGAAAGCCTTAAGGGGAGTACGGCACTTACGGCCGTAGAGCATCTCATAAGGAGATACTCCTAGGGACTCATTGGGGAGACTTCTGAAAATACACATTATTAGGTCAATCTGCTTATCCCAATCCTTTGAGGTTTCACTACAAAACTTTTTCAAGAGTGCTTTGATGGTCTGATGACTACGTTCAAGAGAACCCTGTGAAGCAGGATGATAGGGGCTGGACAATACCTGTTTGATGTTGAACTCCTCCAGTGTCCTTTTGAAGAGATCACTGGTGAAGTTGGTGCCACAGTCACTTTGAATCTCCCTGGGAAATCCGTATTGAGTGAAGATCTTCAATAGATGTTTGATAACCGTAGCAGCCGTGATGTTCTTCACTGGAACTGCTATGGGAAATCTGGTGGTAGGACACAGGATGGTTAGGATGTAGGCGTTACCTGAACTGGTCCGAGGTAAAGGACCAACACAGTCTATTATGAGTCTGTGGAAAGGTTCCGCAGGCACCTGTATTGGAATCAGTGGTGCTCTGGGAATGGAGACGTTCGGTTTGCCTGCCATCTGACATGTATGACACTGTTTTACGTACTGTTTGACGTTATTTACCATACCTGGCCAGTAGTAGTCTTGGCGAAGCCCATGGTAAGTCTTGTTGAAGCCGTAGTGGGAGAATGCTCCATGGGCCAGGTGTAGAATAGTGGGCCGCAGGCTGGTGGGAATCACAAGTTGTTCGGTGTTGGCCCAATCGTCCTCCTCCTTCAGTTTACTGGGTCTATATCTGCGGTAGAGCAAGTCGTTCTCTAGGAAGAACCCAGGAATACTGTCGGGTTGAGTCTCAGCCTGGAAAAACAATGGTGTTAAAGTAAGATCTTCCCTCTGCAACTTACGGAACTCCAACTTGGTCAGATGCGGGGGTAGTTTCTGAGGGTCTTGAGGGACAGCGGTAGCAGTAGAGTCAGCTGGCTGTGGACGTGCGGCTTGTGCACGGGTGGTCACGAGAACCGGAGGAGAAACTTCATCACTCTCTTGAACCTCTGCTGGAACATACTCAAGAATAGGGTTTCTGGGCACAGAGTTACACACCTGGGGTTTGTCCATGACGATCAGGTTGGTCGGTTGCAGGTCTTCTGCCAAGTCGTTGCCTAGGAGAAGTTGCACTCCAGGCATGGGAAAAGGCTTTTCCCTGACGGCGACTTGGACTTCCCCGTTCACGTAGGGACAATCCAGGTGGACTCTGGCGAGAGGGTATGGAGTGGTAGCAGTGAGGTCAGTGATGAAGACTGTTTCCCCGGTGTAGACTATGCTGGGCACAGCCGACTTCAAGATGATCGATTGTAGAGCCGCTGTGTCCCTCAAGATCTTCAATTTGAAACGTCCCTCCGGATTTGAACCGTTGGCAGAGACAGTTCCAGTATACAGGTGGTTACTGAAAAGAGAAAGATCATTAACATCAACACCAACATTCATCACAGGCTTACCGGACTTAGGAGGAGTTGGTTTGGGTCGTTGTTGGTCAGTGGTTCCCTTGTATTGAGACTTACCACACTTGTCTATGGTATGTCCATAGAGTCTACAATACTTGCAGTACAGTTGTGAACCAGCTTGATCGGGGCTCACCTTCTCGTAACTGTACCACGACTTCTTACTGGAGGATGGTTCAGGTGTCAGCCGGTGGATGAGGCTGTAAGTGTCAGCCGACTTAGCACACTTCAGGTAGTCGGTTTCTTCTTTATCTGCTAAGTAGAGGCGGACAGGAGGCGGCACACGTCTCAAGAATTCTTCAACAAGCATCAGGTTGACGAGTTCTGTAAAAGTAGAGACATGTGCTGCTTCCAGCCATTTCATGAAATACCTCCGTTTCGTGTTAGCAAACTCGAGGAAGGTAGTGGTACTTGCCTTCAGGTGGTCACGGAATTTCCTTCTATAACTTTCGGTGGAAAGTAGGTAGGCGTCTAACACTGCTTGTTTCAGAGTGTAGTAGTCATTCTCAGACGCCAAAGTACTGAGTGTGACTGCAGCTCTACCTGTAAGATGGACTCTGAGAAGTGTGGCCCATTGGTCGACAGGCCAACTGAGTTGATTAGCAAGGGTTTCAAAGGTGGTAAAGAACACATCAACTTCTGCTTCTACAAAGGATGGCATTAACTTACTTGCATGTGATATATTAAAACTGATGGGAAGATTGGCAGTAGCTTGCTGGCGTTGAGCGAGGTGTGAAGTTTCCAACGTGTATTCCCGTTGACGACACTCAAGAGCCAGAGTCGCTTGTTGCTTGTCATGTTCGCGTTGTATTTCCAACTCGCGTTGTTTGGTTTCAAGCTGTAAGCGTTCCCGCTCCTGGAGTGTTTCAAGCTGTACTCTTTCACGTTCACGGAGCATTGCAAACTCACGTTCCTTGAGGGCGATTTCTTCCCTTCTTAAGGCAGCCTCACGTTCTTGTTCTTCCCTTCGTATGGCAGCTGCTCG